TTAAATAGATATATCTCATCATACTAGGTTTAATGCCATGGGGTTTTAGACTATAAAGGTAATTAAAGGAAGGATCTTTTTCTTTTGTTCTTTTTATTTTTAGGACTAAATAAATAGTAAAAATATGCTTTGGAACCTCAGATTTTAGAACATTGTTCTAAGTCAAAGTCAAAATATCTTTATTCAAATTGAATGCAAAAAACAACTCTTGAATCGTCCATATTTTTTCCCCTACCACCAGGGACCTTTTTTTAGCTGTGGAGAAAAACTGGCGAAAAATTAAATAATTATGTGACAATATTTAAAAAATAATATATTGTTACGGTGTCAATACAAAATAATTACATTTTCATCATAATCAGAAAAAACCTGCCGGAACGTTTGGAACAGTTTAAACCCAAGCATTTTTGTCTGAAATATAATCATCATCACAGAATTATTGATTTTGTGGAGCCTTGGAATTGGTACAGCAAATTTATTTTTATTTCTAGTAGTAAGCGAGTGCTTATCACTATTAATACTTATTAATATTTTTTCTTAAATTTTTTCTCCTAAAGAGTCTCGTCTTCAGATTGTAAATTGATCGAACAGCCCGCTTCTGCAGCACAAAAATAGTTTGAATGTCGGCAGCATTTCCCCACAGCAAAATACCGTACGATATCACACTATGAAAATAACGAAAATAAACTAATCGAGCAGTATCTACGTCAGTTAATTAGCGTATCTTCATTACTGTGTAGGCTGCAGAGCTCAGTCTCTTCGACGATTTCTCAATATGTGGGCCCCACTCAAGGGCGGATCCAGCTTTGGCGCCAGGGGGGGGGGGGGTCATATAGTCCTGGTCAAGTCACAGTGGGTACATATGGACTCAGCCCAGGGGGGGTCATGAACCCCCCCCCCCCCCTCCTGGATCCGCCCTTGGCCCCACTGCAGCTTCGAATCTAGTGTAATGCCTAAAACTACTGTAGTCTGTGTCCACAAGGTCCATATTCTTGATATCTTTGATATTTACACTGCCTGGTTTGTGTCTGCTTTACATTGGGTAATAATTTTTTAAACATTTACTTTTACTTTCATCTATAGTAATATTATAAAGCTGCAGAAATTGTTTGTTTGTTTGAACGCGCTAATCTCTGGAACTACTGGTCCGATTTGAATGATTCTTTCAGTGTTGGGTAGTCCATTTATCGAGGAAGGCTATAGGCTGTATTTTTTTTTCAAAATTAGGGATCCGTAATAAAATTGCTATTTTGTAACAGAAGGTGTAAAACCGAAACCCTATTTTTGCGTGCGCTGCAAAAACTATTGACAAAAGAACAAAATGATGTACTACGGGTTTGTAGATCCCATTAAGATTTATAAAAAAGTCCGCGAGAACATTTATCTAGCTATCATGGCTTAATCACAATAACCGATTTTGTGTTCAAAATAATTATTAAATCGTCAGAAGAAAAAAAAACTACGTTAAATATGTATCGTAATATTAATCTTTATCGACATTAAGCATTATGTTATCAAGAGTATTTATGTAGAAGTAAAATACTTTTTGTTTCATCTCAATCGGATATTTCGTTTAAAAGTTATCACATGTGTAAGATGTTAAGAGTTGGTACCTATTAATGAGTTATGGGCCATAGTTTTTTATCAACATAAAATCCTGTAATAATCTTTTTCGAAGATTTGGTTACCCGACACCGTCTTCTAGCCCGTATTCCAGTGTAAATATTGCTTCGCTTGCTCGAATTCGAGTAATGTCTTTCGTGCACCGAATACAGGCTAACGACCAAATGTAATTGAGCCATAAGTATGTACCTATTTAGTCATTATTAGCCAGGACCAGGAATAGATTAATAAACGCTTATCCTTGACTTTAGCTTCTGGAACTCCTGTGAATGTTATTTTGTTAATATGTGGGTATAACTACATGGACAAACATAACATTATTTTTAAATCCAATAACTTATATGAGCAGTATAAAAAAATTTTTTTGTACACCCTGTTCATATTGTATAACTTGATGGATAAACCCCCTTTCTTGGCAGTAAGTGTTGTTACGCCAAACGTTAATAAGTTAATATTGCAATTTCGATATACTAACTTAGATAAATTTGCATTCAGAAATATTCTAAGAATGCTCTCTCGCTTGATGTAAACGGCACTAGAACGTGCGAGCTTTTATTCTAAGGAACGAACATTTGCTTAGAGTTTTAGAGCGTTCTTGCGTGTTCGCTCCCCGGAGCAGTCTCTTCAAAGCGTTCTTGTGTTCTTGACATTATAAATGCGATCCTGACAGGTCGTGTCCTTAGTAAGTTAACAGAATAAAGTGCACTTTCGTTCGATCTGGCGAAAAAGAGGTCCAAAAATAAATTCCTGATGATGAAGCGCCATGTGACACGGTCCATGAGCACTTCCTTCGCATTCACAAGCATACGCCTCGGCACTTCGCGAAAATATGGCAAAGACACCTCCACCATAGGTTTCTTTTTAAAATAAATACAAAAAAAAATAACTTCTTTTAATACAAGTAATTTATTTTATTCAACACGTTTACATGTCATTGAAATATTAAGTAATTTTACACATGGATCAACATTGAATAGGTTTTACCTGAAGATAAAAAAAAACATACAGATTCGCTAGTAGCCTAGTATGTACTTAATAAAAAACGGTAGGTGCCTATAACAATACAATAAACATCGAATTAGAGTTGGCGAATAATAATTACGTCTGCTTTACGGGAATGTCCCACAGTGGCGCTGCTAGCTAACCACCACCACCTTTGTGCCACTGACATACCGTTTACTCCTGACTATGCTGCAGTGCCAAGAGGAAATATAATAATTCAATTTACCTCGAACTTCACATTATACCACAGTAGTCTGGGAGACAGGGATTGAGCATCCATAGTTATGCTCAATCCCTGTCCCATATCTAAATTCAACAGTCGTCTTATCACAAACCTCAATTTGATCTTGACTAAGTTATTTCTTTTAAGTATATAGGGGGTATATAGGGTAATATAAAAATCAGATGAGACTTACAATGCGTCAATAAAGGCAAAATAAAATTTATTTAGCCTGACCATCAAACCTACCCTCACTCACAAGCAATCATACGAGTCCACGATTAACTACCTACTTACTGTTATATTTCTGCGATGATGACTAGAAAATATTCAAATAAAACAATATTTTGACACGACATAATAGAGAATAATGCATGTAATTCAAATAAGCCTACATTTTATTTTATATAAACTATATTACTTATGAATTGTCTCTTCATTAATATTTTTGAATAAAATGTCTTTTTGAGCAAGAAATTAATTATTATTGAGAAGCGCCAAAAAGAAATGTGGTAATTTTAAATATTTAAAACGCAACAAAACGGTTGTGACGAAGAAGTCCATAGCTAACAAAAACAAACGAGCAAAAGTTTACAGGATATATCAAAGTTAACGACACCTAAATGAGTGTGAAGTGCGCGCGCACTTAACCTCTAATATAATTGTGGATTTGTTTGTTTTGTTGATATGAACTGTTAGGTCACACTTAAGGTTCGTGCACATTATGTCGGGCCGCAGCGTATCAGGGCAAAAATTCTCTGAAATCGCTCGTATATATTTGATTTGAACTATCGCACACTATAAGTTCTGTTTTTATTTGTTCAATAGATGGAAGTAGTGTAACGTAAGCACGAGTTTAACTTTATTATCTCATTTATGCCGGTAACTAAATTTTTTGGCATCTAAAGAAATTTATTATTTCAATCAATTCAACTAGTCTTGGCTATCGGGCAAGTTTCAAATGGGTACAAAAAAATTGGTTTTTAAACTCTTTCATCTAACTGAAATCAGGACCCCTTGTGCAAAGTGAAAAACACGTCTGTTGTATGGGAGATCGCAACAAACCGCAAAAGGAAATATCATTAACGCGTGACGTCAGTGCAACATTGAATACAGCAGGAAGTATTTGATCTGTGGTTTAAGGCTTAACGCGCACTGCGACGTTTGGACGTCACGGCGAAATACCTCAATAATATGTTGTGTTTGGGAGATTTAAAGAATATAATATCAAATAGGTGCGCGCGCATGCGGCAATTTCTGCGCCCGATCACAGAATATTGGCGGCGGTTCAATTCTGTGGCGGCGCGGCGAACGCTGGTCTGAGTGATTAGAACTATTTGTACCGCGGCGCATTGCGTGACCTGTGACATTTTAATAGACACGCAGGCGAAAGAGCGACAGCAATAGGATTCTGTTTTACCCTTTTAGGTACAGACCCTAAAAAGAGAAAGAAAAACAGATTTTGGATGCATCTTATGGTGAAACATAGTTAAGGCAATTTTTGTTTAAAACTTTGCAATGGCCTTAATCTGGTAGATTTAAAACAAAAGGATATGATATCGCTATGTTTACCCTACTTAATAGTCATAATACTATGTTTTGTTGTGTATCAAAAAAATCCAACCTGTTTTTTTTGTGACATCTCTGGTTCCTTCTACAGTATACATTTATTATGGCTCAATTACTTATAAAGCTTGTATTTATATAATAAAAAGAACTTATAAAGAACTTTTATAAAAACAGGTTTCCCTGCTACCATTAAACTAGATTTTATAGCTTCTCTCAAGTTTAGATAGGTAGCTTTCTTATTGTTGGTACTGTGTTATAAAGCTAGAAATTAAGTGGCATAATTTTAGTTCTATGGTTATATAAATTCTGATTGTTAACATTTATATAAGTGCCTAATGAAAATATACTTTGTAAGTATTTAATGTATACTGTAGAAAGAACTTAGATATGAATCTACATTCAACATTCAAAGTATCAAAGCAAGCTCAATGAGTGAGAGAAACGAGTACTACAGTAGTCATTAATTCCTGGGGTTGCCATTAATTCCTTTGCAAAGTTAGCTATGCCTGACTACCAACTGTATTGCGGATTCAGAATGAGCATTGAAAAACGAGTTTTAATTCAGTTAAACATGTTTGTTTACCAGGTAACGAAACGGAAAATAGCTACTCGCTGATCAAATGCTCTCAGCAGACCGACTTAAAATGGCGGTGTTTTGTCGCGCCGCAGTATAATAGTACTAATAACAACAAACTTGCGGTCGCCGCGCTGCCGATATTCTGTAATGCAGCTGAAACTAGCAGACATCCAGCAGCGGTAGCGTCACAAAATGTATTTCTGGTAACTGTTTTGGTTCTGTTTTATTTATTTAAAAGTAAATGAAAGTATACAAGTTGTTTTTACGAGGGTACCTAGCACTATATGGCCCGGACGCAGCATTAAGTGCGCGCACTTATTCGTTCTTCTATCAAAAACTACTTAAATTGGCGGCATTTTGCTGCGAGAATCAAACGCCACGGTGCGCGCTAAGTCTAACCCTTAAATTTGTTAGTACATAATGCATTTACAATTGCAAACTATATGCATGAAATATAAATACTAGTATAGGTACTTACAAATTAAAGCAATTTTTTCATCATTTCATTTGTGATGCAAGTCACTATTTTTTTAACTAACACACAAAATTATGAGTTACAAATAAATGCTTAATAAAATAAATAACTAAAGTACCTATGCTCTTAATAATTATATTATTACACTAAGGCCCGGAATAGACCAAAACTATTTTTTACATGTGCTGACAAGGACATGATTCGGACAAGATTTATTTACTGTCAGTACTCAGCAAATACATAGAATGTAAAAAATATATATTTGCCTTGTTAAATGCATTATAATAGGATACCAAAGTTTATCTTCTTAATCTATGCATTTTTTAAAATACAAACCTAAATTAAAAATGTAGCAGTGCAGTCACTTTCATTTGAATAGAAGCTTTAAAAATATCCCAATAGCAAATTTTATAGTCAGTCACACCTTATTCGCCATATTAGTCACTATCAGTTCTCACATAGGCGACACAATCAAAAGCACAACAGGGTACACATAACTGCTATCTCTCAAGTAATGTTTGTTCAGAATTTATTGTAGCTGAATGTTCATTTAAATCTTAATAGTCCTCTAGGCATTGACAATGATTAAAATTAGCAGGTTTTTATTAACCTTCCATTAAATATTTTCAAACAAAATATTTTAACACTCATACAAATATTACTTTATATTTTACTTAAATACCTAACACTTACATTTTTGTGGCTGGACATAGCAACATACTCAAAATTATTAACGAAATATAAATACTGACATAAGTTTTTTAATTAGTAATAAAAAAAATATACAAATGAATCTAATTTATTTTATAAAATAGCCCCAGGGCACAAATTTATCATTTGTAAATCTAAACCAATATTTGCTATGCCATTCAATATGTATGTAATTAATTAGTACATAATATCAACACAAATAACTACATTAAATTTCGAATTTAATAGATATGTTGGGACTGTAACTGTATAAAAATAATATACCTAAGCATGACTCTCCATTTACTTTTCTAAATGATGTACATGTTTATAAATTTTATACTCACTGAGGAGTCTACTCCTAAACCAATAAAATTCTAATAAAATTTTACAATTAATTGTAAAAGAGGCTATGTAGATCATAGTTAATTCATTTTTTATTTATTAATATTACAGTTCATTAATTTATATACACAATTACTATGTGATAGTTTGTTTGCTATCCTGATATCATAAAAAAATAGTACTCAATCAAATATTTGCTATTTCTTTAGTATTTGTCTATTTGACTCCTGTTTATTATTCAAAGGATTCTAATGCAATTCTAGGCTTGTTTCTTAGACTAGTGTTCTACAAAGAATTCGACAAAAACTAGGTTAACAAATCTATTAAACAGAATCCATATTTTTTTAAACATGAAATAATAAATGATGTCATTATTCATAATAATGATTTCCTGTGAAGACCTTAGATTATAAAAATGTATATAATTAAAAGTTGTATCCAGTCGTAATTTTCTGTACTGTACAAACATTCTTTACCTAATGAAATCCTTGTAGAAAAATTAACAAATGGGGGACAGTATATTAAAAAACAAATTAAACTGTTCTTATACTATATACATCTTAAAACATTTATATCTAACTACTAACACTAATGGATGTATGTCTGTATTAATTTTATTTTTTATTATACAACAAAAAATATATGCAATACATTCCATGAGAATAAAATGGAAGAAGAATATCTATGATGAAGATGAAATTTGAATTACTTTTTGATTATGATTTGTCACAAACAGAAATAATAATAATATAATATGAATAGAGTAGAATTAAGTAGATTTATTATTATTTGAAACATACCAGGTGTCTCAAGTCAATTAAGATGATATATATGGCTTATTTTTCAAACTATTGATATAATTTAAACACAAGACCTGCTTTTCATTGATATTCCATTGTTTTGAAACACCAAGCATATTTTTCAAAATATACAAGAGTATACTTGACTATGTTGTTTTTTTGGAGCAAATTGCATTTGTATGTACCTAAGTACCTTCACTGCTTGGTAAAAAATCTTCTTCCTGATATCACATAGCTCTATAAGGTCCTTGAGATTTCAAGTATTGAATGACCAATGAAGGACCTGATGATACAACTTCAGGTGGAATAGCAGTTAATGGACAATTTTCTATGCTCATGATCTGCAAGCTCACACACAAAGCTAGCTCAAAAGGTAAATTACATAAGTTTGGATTGTCATTCAAATACAATGATTCCAAATTTTCAAGAGTGCCAATTTCTTCAGGCAAATATTGCAGGTTATTCTCACCAACACTCAAGAATGTTAAATTAGTCAAATGTCCAATCGATCTAGGCAGTGAAGTCAACTGGTTAGATTGTACAATCAACTTTTGTAAGTCATGGAGGAAACCAATTTCATTTGGTAATACCTCTAGTTTATTCTCCTCCAAATCCAACACTCTAAGCTTTCTTAAACTGCCAATACTGGGTGGAATCCTCTTTAATAAATTATTTGACAAAGTTAATATTTCTAAATTTTGTAGGCATTGTATGTCATCAGGCAACTTTGTCAATTGGTTAGTACCCAAATTAAGTTCAACCATATTAATCCATGTTCCAATATCTAATGGTAATGAAGTTAATAAATTTTCTTTCATATTTAATTTTGTTAAACTTTTTGCTCTTGAAAAAATTCCATATGGAATTTTATCAATTTGATTATGTTCCAAATTAATGGAAAATGCATTTGTGAACTGTGCAGGGCCTCCAGATGGATAACTCATAAATGAATTCCTTGAGAGTGTAATACTTGTCAATTCATTCAAACTAGCAAGCAAACCATCGGGAAGTTGAGATATTGAATTTCCTTCCACATTAAATTCATCCATGTGTTTACAATTACTCAAACTCGATGGTATGGCTGTTAATCTATTATATCTTAAGCCTAAACGAGTTAATGCTTGTAGGTTTCCAATAGTTTCTGGTATGTCTAACAAATCATTATGCTGCAAATCCAAGGTAGACAAATTAACACAATTCCCAATTTCTTGTGGCAAATGCTCCAAATGGTTGTGTGAAACATCAAATGTTACCAAATTCACCAATTTACCAATTCCCGATGACAATTCTTTTATTTTGTTCTCTCTTAAACTGAGCATTGTAAGATTTGTTAAATTAGCAATTCCATCACCAACTACTCTGATTCTATTGAATCGAAGAAATAGTGTTGTGAGAGAAGTGAGTTTATACACAACTTCAGGAATGTCACTCAGCTTATTATGTCTCAAATCCAAAACCTTCAAGCACCTCAAGTTTGCTAGTGAGTCTGGTAAGCTTGTCAATGAGTTTTCATTTAAAGCTAATGTTTGCAAGTTTGTAAGACAACCAAATTCAGCAGGAAGTGCTACTAGCTTATTACCATACAAATAAAATTCTAAAAGATGAGTCAAATCTCTGACATTAGGTGGCAAAGAAGTGATAGAAGACTTACTGAGATCAAGTCGTTTCACGCCTTCTTCACGACACCTAATAAACTCTTTTACGACATCAAGATCTGCTTGTATTGGTTTATTTTTCTTTGCAGTTGGCTTGGGCTTATTTGATTCAGGATGCTTAACTGTTACAACTTTCGGTCGAGCTCCTTCTGTATTTGTCAATGATGCGGTAGATAGCTTCTTTTCCCTCATACTGTGATACTTTTCTCGTGGACTAACAGTTCCGATAGAGTCCAATGCTTCGGAGTTTTCTCTTGATGAGTTATCCAAATTCATACCGTAACACTTGATAACACCTGTCTGATTACCAATTATTTCCTTTGTTTTAGTGTTCAGAATCATTTATTAACTAAAACTTAGTTGACATGATTTTGTCATCTCATGTATGAATGACACAGAATAAATCAATACCAATTTTTAGAGCCGAATTGAAAACGAGAAAAAGGTATCAATAGATTCTTCACTTTTCGTTTGTTTCACGATAAATATTATATTTAGAATAAAATTTAATTATACGATTATTTTAATAAAAATACGGTTTGGAGAAGAAAATTAGTAATAGTCTAAAAATTCATTCGACAAAAGATGGGTCACGAAACTCAAATCCACAGCCACAGAACAGAATCAATTTAAAGTCAAAACCACCCACAGACTATTAATGCAGTGTTGCCGATCATAAAAAGCAAAATTCGGTAGAAATAATTTGGAAAATCGGTATACTGAAAGAAAAATCGGTAGATTTGCATAAGACCTTTAATTTTTATTGTTCATTTACTATTACAGAATGTTGAGTTAAGATTGAGTCTGGATGGAGCATTTTATGGGCTGAAGGTCTAGCGAGACATTAGGGTGGTAGATTTCTAAGGCCTTTGATAAGGTTTGGCATGAAGGACTCATAGCTAAGCTTCTTTCTTGCTTAAGAGCCCGCTAGTCTTCATGCTTGGATTTCTGATATTAACAATCGGAGCGAGTAGTTGTTGATGGTTTCTCGTCAGATCTATTGCTAATGCAGGGGTACCTCAGGGATCTGTTCTCTCAGCAACCTTGTTCCTGCTGCATATAAACGCCCTTCTCAAGCCCGGTATTTTCGGGTATGCATAATGGCGCATCCACACATGCCCGGCGGCCAACCCGGCGGCCATACCGCCGGCACATGCATCTTATGTTGTATTTGTTGGGTATGCTGTCTGAAAGCCGGCAGCATGTGTGGATACGCCATAAGAGTGGAAACAGTTAAAAATTTAATTCAACCCTTCAAATGGCGGCGTCAGAATGGGTGAATCCAACCTTGTCAATTCTAATTTCACGTCCCACCCAGGTATCTTTTCTCTGCTCAAAAGAGGCCTTCCAACACGGTTTCCGGACTGTGCGCCTGTACCAATTACCCAACACGTACAGTGGTGTGGCTCTTTGGTGTGGATTTGTTGGTAGATATAGAATCAAAGGTTGTCTGCGTTAAAATAATCAGACATTCTGTTGAAAGGTTCGCAAATGTTTACTCCATCTAAACTACTGGATCTTAATTCAGTACGATATCTCTCCTGCGTGGAATAATGCTCCCACCTGTGGGATGGATCCGCCCGCTACCAGCTTGAAGCCTTGGCATCCATTGACAGACAAGCTAAGAATCTTATAGGCGATGAAATACTCACAACCAGACGCCTACAAACCGTCGAACATCGCCGTCTAGTTGCGTGTTTTCTACAGGTTACATTCAAAGAGTGTGCACAAAACTGTTCAAATTAATTCCACCAGCATCTTTTTCTATGGAACGACGTGACCTAAACAGAGACTGCAATTGTACGTGGTTGACATTTCTCCATTACGTTCCTTAAGATTTGCATCCTCCTTCATGAAACAAACTGCAGTGTTACCAACCCTTACCAAAAATTTACCCTAAGTATTTTTTAAATTCCCCTAAAATCCCCTAAATATAGAAATTTATATGTACCTACTTAACTTACTACCTAAATTCTTTCGTTGCTCATAAATTAAACGTTACATATTTAGTTATAGTAAATTATTTTATTGAATAAATACATTTTCCGAATGGAAAATTAAACGAAAATGAGCTGACAGGCTGTTAAATCTGATTCAGCTGTTCTGATTGGTGGAAGGCAAAGAACTTTAGTCCATACAGCCTTAGGAAACATCCTGCCACACAGTGAGTTCAGTCGTTTCATATCGTGGTGCGTTCCATTCTACGCACAAAACTGAAAGAAAACACATGCTTTGTTTTTCGGTTTAATTGAAAGTTTTGTTAAAAGTCCCTAAAAGAACCCCCAAAAAAGTCCGCTTTTAACCTTTCTAGCCCCTAAATCTGGGGGCAAAACCCCTAAGTTGGGAACCCTGACGAACTGCTAGAGAATGGAATCCCTTCCTGTGTAATTATTCCCTGATATATATAATATGGATCATCAAGGCAGAAATAAAGTCATTATTCGAGTCTGCATGCAGCTCCAGCTTAGTCCACATCGTTGCTTAGCATCAGGTGCAATTGTGGTTATTTTAAGGTCTAAAACTACTGAAATCTTTTAAACAAAAAAAAAATGCATGAGTTTCGTGGGGAAACTCCGTAGGCACGATGTTAAAAATATTTATATAACGCCCACCAATTCGCACTGGGCCCGCGTGGCGTGGCATGGCTCAATCTCCCTATTCCATTTAAAAATAAAATATCCTACTTCCCAAACCACCCTGGGTTCAATGCGAATTGGTCCCGGTGCGGAATGGGCCCAGTGTGGAGACTAACGGTTCATCACTCACCAAACTAAACTTCAAACCAAGTCCACAATTATAGTAGTGGCCCACGTCGCTGCCTGCCAAGCTAGTTGATTTGCTTGCTGCCTCGCTAGGTAGTGACGTCTGTTAAAGGACACTGTTAATTAAAAAGCCTATTCAAAATCACTTTATTTTATTATGTTTGAGCTCGACTAGACAGCTTGAAATAAGTTTATATTCTTGATAAAATAATATTAGTTTTTGTTTTATACATCATTGCTAAAACCACAGTTTGAAAGTTCTGAATGTGTTGTATGGGGTTGTGATGGCCGCCTACTGCTGCTGTGTGATTTTGGTGATCTGCTTTATGAGCATAAGGGTGCTGGCGCGCTTAGAAACACTGTTGTTACTAGAACACTTGAGGTAAATGCAAAATTTTTATTTTGTTCGTCTCCTGGAGATGATCAGCCAGTAGTGAATGTGTTATATAGGGTGCTCATGGCCGCCTACTGCTGCTGGGTGCTCTTGGCGATCTACCCCTTGAGCACGAGGTTGCTTGCGCGCTTAGACACACTGTTACTAAAACACGTTTGTAGTTAATGCTAATATTTTATTTTGTTTGTCTTCTGGAGACAATCAGCCAGTAGTATTGGCGATCTGCTCCTTGAGCATGAGGATACTGGCGCGCTTACACACTGTTGTTACAAAACACGTTTGTGGTAAATGCTAATATTTTGGTTTGGTCGTATTCTGGAGATAATCAGCCAGTAGTAAATGTGTTGTATGGGGTTATGATGGCCGTCTACCGCTGCTGGGTGCTCTTGGCGATCTGCTTCTTGAGCATGAGGATGCTGGCGCGCTTACATACTGTTGTTACTAGAACACTTGAGGTATACGTAAAAAAAATATTTTGTTAGTCTTCTGGAGATGATCAGCCAGTACTGAATGTGTTGTATGGGGTTATGATGGCCGTCTACCGCTGCTGGGTGCTCTTGGCGATCTGCTCCTTGAGCATGAGGATGCTGGCGTGCTTAAACACACTGTTGTTACTAGAACACTTAAGGTAAATGCATTTTTTTTATTTTGTTCGTCTTCTGGAGATGATCAGCCAATAGTGAATGTGTTGTATTGTATGGGGTTATGATGGCCGTTTACCGCTGCTGGGTGCTCTTTGCGATCTGCTCCTTGAGCAGGAGGATGCTGGCGCGCTTAGACACACTTGTTACTAGAACACTTGAGGTAAATGCAAAAAATTTATTTCTTTCGTACGTAAAAAAAATATTTTGTTAGTCTTCTGGAGATGATCAGCCAGTACTGAATGTGTTGTATGGGGTTATGATGGCCGTCTACCGCTGCTGGGTGCTCTTGGCGATCTGCTCCTTGAGCATGAGGATGCTGGTGCGCTTAAACACACTGTTGTTACTAGAACACTTAAGGTAAATGCATTTTTTTTATTTTGTTCGTCTTCTGGAGATGTTCAGCCAATAGTGAATGTGTTGTATTGTATGGGGTTATGATGGCCGTCTACCGCTGCTGGGTGCTCTTTGCGATCTGCTCCTTGAGCAGGAGGATGCTGGCGCGCTTAGACACACTTGTTACTAGAACACTTGAGGTAAATGCAAAAATTTTATTTCGTTCGTCTTCTGGAGATGAACAGCCAGTAGTGAATGTGTTATATGGGGTTATGATGGCCGTCTACCGCTGCTGGGTGGTCTTGGCGATCTACTCCTTGAGCATGAGGATGCTGGCGCGCTTACACACTGTTGTTACTAAAACACGTTTGTGGTAAATGCTAATATTTTATTTTGTCTTCTTGAGATTATCAGCAGGTAGTGAATGTGTTGTATGGAGTTCTGATGGCAGTCTACCGCTGCTGGGTGCTCTTGGCGATCTGCTCCTTGAGCATGAGGATGGAGGCGCGCTGCTCGGGCGGCAACAAGGCAATCTGCTCGTCCGACAGCTGCAGCACCTGCATTATCAGCGCGGCCTGGGGAAAAACCAAATAATCAACTACTGAATATAAAAAGAAACATCAGATGCTTTGTTTAAATTATTGGGTAGATGGTACAATACTCTAAGATCTGTGTGCGGTTTGCTATCATGGTAATAAACCATATATATTAATTACCACAAAAACTACACTGAGGAAGATAAAAAAAATTACTTGTCTTAGGTATTCGCACCATTCTTTTTTCGGAAGTTTAACCTTTCGCCCATATAGAGAAGCATAAGAACTAATTTGTCATTTATTCACAGAAAAATAAAAATGGTCTCTATCTGTTGGTATGAGTGTATAATAAGTCTATCGCCTATGTGTTAGAGCATATCAGTATTCCGTTTTAGTATTTTTCCCACCTTTTCTTGATCGGAGGCTCCAGACGGTATGCCTTGAATAGTTCTCGCCTGAGCCATGCTCGGCATACCGGGCGGCATTTGCTCTGTGTATAAAACAACAATTTACTCAAAATAAGCACATAAATAATCTGGAAAAAAGTAACTTACACATATGAAAACGTATAAATCAATAAGGGAACAGATAAAAAAACATTTTGGTTCTAGTCATCGAAGAATCCTAGTATGTTTTGATATACAGGGCGTCCCACGGCTACCTCACACGGAGGGAAAGTATATTAAATATTGAAGTTGGGATATTTTACTGAAAGAAGACATCATTTTATTTTTAATACTAACTAGAATTGCATTCACAGATTTTTTAAAAATCGCCTGCTGCAACTGGGAATCAAATTCGTGAAATTTCGAAAAAATAAACACAACATATTTTATGATAACCATCGAAAGGGTTAATCATAAGGATTATTTTTTGCTAAATAACAAATCATTTTAAATGAAGGGAATGTCTTATTACGTGATAAAAATAATAAATTGATACACAAACTGTAGTACGTATGCATTTCTTTTTCAACTCACAGTTACAATGCGATTGGCTGAAATTTGAAAAAATAATAATTTAAAAATGGAACACATACATTTTCAAGAGTCTGTTCTTTTGTTTTTTGTAAGTTTCATTTTAATTTTTTTGCAATTTTTTGTAAAGGAGGACGGGCATTTTGGTATCCAAATGGTGTTTGGTATCAATACCGATGAGTGATATATCATTGAATACCTCTTTTCATGTAGAATATTAGTTACTATGGCGGTATTCTGATATTTGTTGTCCGTTTTTAGTTTACCAGAAAATACCAGAACCATTTTTGCCGGAACCATTATTACCATTATTTATTATTACAGAACCAAAAAGGGAAATTAAGTCACTGAATCAATTACAGAGTTGAATGCGGGATGCCATCCCCTCCCCCGCTCGTATTTAGGCAGGTAGACAGAAGGCGCGAATGCGCGCGGAGATCTTGTACGTGGAAGCGTTCTTGAATATAATAAGGCAAAAAATAGATACTCCTAATATTCTATATAATTACGTAGAAAGAAAGTGGTTGGACCATCGAAGGGCAGACTTCATACGACTTGAAGCAATACAAGTGGAGAACTTCCCCCAACTGACTGAAGAAGAATTCATTGTTGGTGCTTTGGGCACATATCAACTCAAACTAGCCAGATCTTACTGTAGCGAGCATTTAAATAATGGCCTATATACGATAGAAACATATAGAGAAAATGCATTGGAAGACTTGCCTGAATACGGCATAGATCAAAATGTTTGTTTGTTACGCGGACGAATCCGGCCTCGTCATATTCGAGCAAGGACCTATTACTGCTACGTATTATTCTGCTGAATAATTCGGTAAGTCGTTATTGCTATAACGACTTACCGAATAATAATTATAATAATATAATTCAACATTATTGTACATGTCTAAACGGTAGACGTACCATAGGAACTTGTGCTCACATATTATCAATTATATGGTACCTAGGCTATGCCAGGTACGCCGGATTCATCGCTCCTGCACTGTTCGTCGCATCAATGACATCCTTATTATAAATAATGAATAAAGTCATTACTCAAAAATGTGTTTCTTTCACTCTGCCTCTGGATAACTGCATACATAAAAAAATAAATGAATAAAAACATAATGTACCAATAAAGATTAATATTTAAAATATATTTTTATCCATTTTTGTTATTTTTATTTTTGTAAAAAATTTTTTTTATTAAGTGTTACCGTCATTGGCGTATCTAGGGTTATTTTTCAGGGGTGGGGGGGGGGGGGGGGGTGGGGGGTTATTGGGCCCTGACATTGAAGAGTCCTCTGAAGTTAGTGATTAGTATTATAGAATTTCGAATCGGAAGTCCAACATCCTGGGGTGGGCACAAGACCGTCCTGGGGTGGGCACGTCGCACTCGGCCCCCCCTACGCCTATGATTACCGTTCAAGATAACAAGCTAGTTATTGTTTTTTTTATTCTGTTTTTTTACCATGTTCTTTTATTAACGTTCTCGTTAAAGATAAACATTAAATAGTTCACACGAGGTTGTATAGTTACTAAGTTGGAAGGCACTGGTATCGGCAATACAGTTTTTTTTAAACTATTGCAGATATCAACGCTCTAACCTAATGCCTATTGTTAATACTTACAACACTGCTAAAATAATGTAAATACTAAAATGTATAACAATTTAAAAAGAAAAATCTTTTTTTTATTATTTATTATATAACTCTGTTTCGACAACGTATCAGGGCAAGCGCCATAGTAGACATTATTGTATTCAAGTAGACCTTTCAAATGATATGTAACACATCTCTATTGGAATGGATACCAAGTTCCATACATTTTTGCCCATCATCCTTTACTTACCATGGGGTATTAAAATAAAATGGATTTAATGGAAGCTTATTTTATGAACAACAAAGACATATTGCGGTGGTACCGCGAAAGATACCCTGATAGAGACGTACTTTCTCGATATGTGGTTAAAAGGTTAGTGGAGAATTTAAGAAATTTATGACGTTTTGATATGCGCTTACGGAACCACAGCAGCGGATAATAAACGTCAATGATGATGAACTCAACATTTTAAATTACTTGAAGCGTATCCGATTTTATATTAATTTGTGTTAAATAATTTTAAATAAAATATTAAATTAAATTACTTTTCTTTCATTTAAAATTATATGTTATTCAGCAAAAAATAATCCTTATGATTAACCCTTTCGATGGTCATTATAAATTATGTTATATTTTCTTTTTCGAAATTTCACGAGTATGATTCCCAGTTGTAGCAGGCGATTTTTTTTAAATCTGTGAATGCAATTCTAGTTAGTATTAAAAATAAAATGATGTCTTCTTTCAGTAAAATATCCTAACTTCAATATTTAATATACTTTCCCTCCGTGTGAGGTAGCCGTGGGACGCCCTGTATAGCGCGTTATAAAGTGTGGTGACTTATTGACTACCATAAAAAAGAATTGAATTTTATCTTATGTTATTTCAATTCTAATGTTATTCTTATACTACAAATTAAAAAACAATTCACCGTTTAAAATTGAATTGAAACGACCATCTATTGAACAGGTATAATCACTCCCTTTTTGTGGGTTAATTTTTACACAAAAACACACAAGACGCGTGCCTGACTGTGACTGGTCCGAGATATCATGTGTAGGCTTGCCAGGTGTGGCTTTAGCCGGACATGTTTGGCTTTTTGCGTTGCGTTGTCAGGCTTTTTGTCAGAGTGGCGATTCGTACGACGCCGCGACTATGGGCGGACGAGCGTCCGAGCGGACAAGAGAGCAAACTGTTGGTGCGCGCGGCGCGTGACGTCAGCGTGACTACCCCGCCCCGCTGTCTGATATAATAAATATGTCCGGCTTTTAGGGCAAAATGTCAGGCCTTATATAGTGCGCAGCTTGACCTTTGCATTTTATGGCCTGGCAACCTTATGTCCGTGAGCGGTCTTTATGTGAGCGTTGCTCGAGCGCACTTTGTATGTAGTTTACCTTCTGTACTGTCTATTTTGTAATATTATTCAAGAGGAAGGAAGGCCTCTGAGCTGACTCCAGACATAGGTTGTCTTTTAAGTGCCAGTATTATATAGATAACCCTGCTTATGTACTAGAGGCACAGATCACCCACCAAAGTTTGCATTAATCAATTTTATTTGAAATCACAATCGCCAAATTTGATGGTGTGGGGGAGAGTAAGCCGCGTTTTGATTGGACACGACGGTGTGACGTCACGGTCAGATAATTGGGTGCATTATTGTGAGGGCGTGTACACACTACATCATACTAATATTATACATTTGAAATTATGTCTGCCTGTTGCCTCTTCACGCTTAAACCACTGAACCGATGTAGATGATTTTAGTATGGAATTAGTGTTACCATAGTAACCCATAACACAAGCCTTATGGCTCAATTACACTTGGTCGTTACGTTAGCCCGTATTCAAGGGCACGAAAGACATTACTCAAATTCGGGTACCCGAAGCAATATTTATGGCGCGATTACATTTGGTCGATAGTCCGAATACCAGTGCCAATGGAATTCGGGTAAACGACTTAGTGTTAATGAACGGAGTCGAGTACGCCCGTTTTCAGGTAGTTTTCGTTTTGGTTACCCGAAAATGTACGAAGTCACGTACGCCCATATTCGTTTTGGTTTCCCCTAATTTGGTATCACTGAGGTACGTTCCAACTAGAAAGCAGGTGCAGGGTTGTTTTCCCGTGTTCTAGTAACCGAACGCGAGTAAAACAATGTAATATCTTTCGTGCACCAGAATACGGGCTCACGAGCAAATGTAATTGCGCTTTTTGAGTACTTACTTTGGGGCTAAGCTAATTGGTGCGTGTGTTAAAAATAGGTATTTATTTATTTTACATGAGCCTGCTTATGTACTAGATATTATTAATTGAGATGCTTACGTGGAGGCATTTTCTGTTGACTGCGAGGGTCGCTGGGGCGCACTCGCGGATCAGTACCGAACTGCGGCGTGTTGGCCAGGCGAGGATCGCGCGGGAAACCACTATGAAATTGAAAAGGGAATGAATTCATGTAACTAAACTACCGGGAGTGGTCTGACTTGACCACACTAGAATTATTTAAATAAAAAGGGCTTAGATTAAATCAATAAAGGAAGGGATACGGCAATCGTGTCTCAAAAGAGCTTATATAAAAAGAAATTGGTGCACAATATTCCCTTTAGTCTCAATTTGATATTCAAATGCTGCATGTGCACTCAATTTATCAATACTGGGGTTAAAAAGACAAAACAATGCCTTTGTTGCTTTTAAAAGTGCACAAATAGTTAAAGAACATCATCATCTTTTGTAAGTTATTATTTAAGTTGTGTTTTCTATGATTTTTTTTCGTGTAAAATAAATTATTATATAAATAAAAATAAATAAATAAGAACAAACAACAAATTACACAGCAACACTTTTCATTCGTAAAAGAATAAAAACATTTTTTCCCAGATATCACGGTTTCTCATTAATGTAATTAATAATAATAAGTATTATTGACCAAAAAAAATCAGAACAGTAAGATTACGTAACAAACTTAGCACTAGTTACCTACAGCTGTAGTGTGTGTGTGTGTGCGCGTGTGTGTATGTATGCATAGACAAATAAGTCGTATTAGAAAATAAATATAGCGAAACTATATAAACTGTTTATAATAAATAGGAAATTATGAATAAACTCAATACAAAAATAACTTCATCCATAAACCATGCAGACGCAATGGGATGTAATAATATTAACTTAAAAAAACGATACAATATTAAAGCAGTCATTAGTAATGAGAACATGCGATGGGAACTGATGATTAGTATAACCTCAAATTTAACTTACATCTCCTTTAGTTGTTCCAAAGATGTAGCGGGACTAATAAAATATTACATCGTTTTAATAATCATATCTAAATGTAGTTAATATTATAGTAAGTATCAGAACATACATCGAAGTATGTAATTGAAACCCAGTTAGGATAACAAATTACATTCGGAATTGGAAAAGCTTATTAAAATACAACTCAAAGCTGCCATACCCTTAATGTTTTATTTCTTATTATACACCGAATGACCCAGACAAACGCACAGTTGCCAGCAATATCACAGTTTTTTCCATGTCTTTTGAGTGCCACAGACAGCAAGCAGCACTTGCAGTCAATACCAGTGCAACTGCGGTCTATATAGCACCAGAGTCGTGCGTGTGCTCAGAGATCAGGAGGTATTTGCTAGAACATAGCTTTTGTGATGCCTGCCCTGAAGCCCATGGGTAGGCTGCGCATGTCCTGGTTCAGCAGCGACGGCCACGGTCTGGTAGGTAGGTATAGGGAGGCTAGACACGTAGCAACAGTCACCTGTCCGGCTGCAGCGCGGGCGGCGGCACGGGGTGCGGTGGCATGGGAAGGCTGCGCATGTCCTGGTCCAGCAGCGGCGGAGCTACGGGCATGGGCGCGGGCGCGCGAGATCCGCGCAGGTCCACGTCGCCTATCGACGCGCGGGCTGACCCATCCAAATCAAAATTACGCTCATTATATAATCCACTTGTGCTGGGTTGTGCCACGCACAAATTCATACCAATAAGCGACGAATTAGAAATAATATTATGGAATACGAACTGTGCTAAACAGTGGTTCAATGCAAACTGCGAACAATAGGGCGGGGCGAATATCTGCCATATATACAGACCAGGGGTTGTTAATTATCTTTTAATTCTATTATAGTTGCGTCTTTGATTTAGGTAAACATGAAGTGTTTCTTGATGCAATAATTTATTATTGGCTGATTTTTCGAAAATGTTCATTTATGAAATTTTACTGAAATGCATTTAAATTTGAAAATTTAATGCGGTTGTGAATCAAAGCATAGACAAAACTGTTGCAGTATAATCTATTTTCTGCAAGATTTAATAAAATTTCTTAATTTCTAATATATTTTCAAAGTTACTTACATGGGAATTGGTTTGGTGGAGGCACTGGATTTGCTAGCAGTGGAGGTGGTTGTTGTTGAACTATAACGTCAAAATAAGAACAATAAGCCATGATATCATCATTAGAACAAATAAAGTCCACCAGTTTCCAATTTTGTGTAATGACAAATAACTCTAACTAAATATAAATTTTAATCTTACCTGGTGGTGGATTACTTGGCATACTGTAGGGATTGGGTGGAGGCTTTTCCCCTGGCTGTATTACTGGAGGTACTGGATTTGATGGATGCAGCATAGTCTAAGGAAAGATTTAATAAAATAAATAATAAATATAAAACACACTTTCGTGCATGACTTACCAGAATGAAATATAGATTAGATAATCAATACTCTCTCGATATTCTATAGGCTATGAGCAATGACTGTGAGATGACATAGGGGATTGCACTTTAAATCGTAATTTGGAGTTTACCTACACTTTCATTATAATTCATATATATATATAACAATTTTGAGTTCAACTGATAAACTTACAACTGCTGTAGCTGGGTCAACAATCCTCATGATAACTTGTGCTTGCAGGAGTGCATAAGCAAGTTGAGGATTTTGCAAAAGCATGTTTCTTGCTTCTGTAGGATTATTCTGAAAACAATATAAAATTTTTACAACAAAAATTTTTTAAACATAAAACATTACAAAAGTGCCTGAAAATTTCATTATTGCTTAGAAATTTCCAGGCTCACCCAAAATAAAACTAATGAGTACTAACAATACTATTCAATATCAAACAACTACCTTTTTATAGAGTTAATTAAGGTACCAAGGAGTCATATTCTAATTTTATTTTGAATAATATACAAGAATATAGTAGGATTCTAGGTAATTACCTGTATACAAAGTTTCATTTGTTTCATTAGTTCAAACATCTGTTCTGGAGGCAATGTCGCTACAGCTTTACTAATAGCTTCAGGAGCTTTTTCAGGTTCTACTGGATCACCATAGGGATTTTCGATCTATTAAAATTTGCGAAATTATTATTTAGGATATAATACTTATGAATTATAATAAATTCTGGGTATAGGTATCTAAAGATTGTGCCCTTTCTGGGCAACAAAGATAAAGTAAAAGCAAAAACTAGTATAGAGAACTATATTAACTGCTCCTAGTCGCAAACCACTATGCGAAAAACCAATAAACTTTATAAGGCTTCAAAGAATTGAGATAGAGACAAGTTAAATAACAAAATAAGTATAGTAGAGGTTAATCAGATGGCACCTGAGGTCCTTGCATCAATGCTTGCATCTCCATTCTTGATTTTTCTGTACATGCATTGTCAACTCTGAGAGATCTTCCTCCAATTTCATAACCGTTTAAATTCCGCATAGCACTGAGAGCTGTCTCTTGATCCTTATATTCACAAAAGCCATAACCTTTAGGTTTGCCAGTTTCTCTGTCAAATACTAGTTTGAATAATAGTACAGGACCCACTTCACTAAATATATCTTTCAGTTTCTCTTCAGTAGCTTCGTAGGGTATATTTCCAACTAAAATTAATAAAAGTAACATAAGTAATGCTACTCTAATAGTAAACATTCTTACATGGTTTTAATTTCACTTACCGAAAACTGATCTCATGGATTTATCTATAATACTCTGCTCTTCCTTTTCTTTATTTTTATCCATCTTGTATTCTTCTGATATCAACTTTTGCGTGATAAATAATAAATTTATTGAAAAATTCACAGAACACAGAACTTCACAGAAAACCAAAAGCACAGACAGACACAGATTATTAGAGACTAGTATTAAAGTGGTGGAGAAAGGGGAGGTTGGCGCGGGCGGGCGGGCGGACTCTGTCGTTTCTATTTGACAGTTTAATGCCGGCTCTTCACTCTGTTATTTGGGTTTGCTATTAGTAAACTTGACATCGGTCTGTCCTTCTCATTCATAACAAAGCTTAATAAGGACAGACTGTTGTCAAGTTAAGAAATTTTATTTATTTATTTATTAGGACTACCAGGGAAAGTTACATTAAATCTTATTTTTAAACTGATACATACAAAATGCAAAATTCTATTGAAGGTAGCCACATCATGCTTAAGAGACAGTACGAACGGACCATATATGTCAGTGGAACGGACCGAATTTGAATTAAATAAACAAACTGAAACCACATATAAAATAGCCAAGTGAAGTACCTGTATTAGTTATTTGAGTTGACGGAGTTGACTGACATCAGACTGTCCTGTTCATTTCTTAAAAAGCATGTTATGGACAAATAGCAAATAAGAATAGCCATTAGCCAAGTGAAGAGCCGGCCGGCAAAGAAATAAACAAACAAACGTCAATCTTGGAAATTGGTGGGATTTGTTTGGTGCAAAGAGTACTTTATTACGGAAAGTTTTGTGGTTTTCACTAGAAACGTTGCTCGATTCGCTAAAATTCAAGGGTTCAAACAGGTTCAAACGACAAAATGGATAAAAATAAAGAAAAGGAAGAGCAGGGTATCATGGATAAATCCATGAGATCAGTTTTCGGTAAGTTCAAGTGTAAATCTTTTTCCTTTGCATGGGCACTAGATTGAAGTTTTACTTATAAATAACCTTTGTTTTAGTTGGAAATATACCTTATGAAGCTACTGAAGAAAAACTGAAAGATATATTTAGTGAAGTGGGCCCAGTACTATCATTCAAATTAGTATTTGACAGAGAAACTGGAAAACCCAAAGGTTATGGTTTTTGCGAATACAGAGATCAGGAAACAGCCCTCAGTGCTATGAGAAATTTGAACGGTTATGAAATTGGAGGCCGATCGCTCAGAGTTGACAATGCATGTACAGAGAAATCAAGAATGGAAATGCAAGCATTGATGCAAGGACCTCAGGTGCCAATTGATTATCTTTTGAATCACTATCACTTAACTTTTCAACTTTATCTAATCTTTTAATTTAACTTTTAGCCATCACTGGAAAAATCTAATAACTAACTTTATCTGCATTTTATATACTTAATATTTTCTATTGAATTTTAATGATATTAATGATTTTTTTTTGTTAATATTTGTATTTAATGTGAACAGGCTGAAAATCCCTATGGTGAACCAGTAGAGCCAGAGAAAGCACCTGAAGCCATTAGTAAAGCTGTAGCGACATTGCCTCCAGAACAGATGTTTGAGCTAATGAAACAAATGAAACTTTGCATTCAGGTATACATTGCTGCAAACTTCTTAAGCAACTACTTTAGACAATGAAGTTTGCGCAGTAGCAATTTTACATACCAAAACTCTGTACTGCGCAAGTTAATTTGTCTGTGGTTTTGCAGTCTTAGTCTTAGTAGTACGGCGGGCTGTTTCCGCAACTCGACACCTAGTGCCTATTTTGCGTGGGGATTGGCATCAGTCCTGCCATCCCAGCTCCTCCAGAAAGCTCAGCAGTCCCCGAATGTTGCTGCAGGCCTCTACTATTGTTTTCGGGCTTCCCATTAGAGAAGTCCTTTGTCTTGCAACGCCCCTGCACTCCAGTAGGACATGGGCGCTCGTCTCATCCGCCTCCAGGCAGGCTCTGCACAGAGGGCTGTCAGAAATACCTATATTACAAAGGTGTTTGTTAAAGTAGCCGTGACCCGTGAGTATACCCACGATTTGTTTCAGGGCTTGTCTAGGTAGTCTGATTAACTTACGTGTTAGCTGCAGGTTTACCTTAAGAACGGCTTCCCTGGCTTGCCTGCAGTCCGTGAGTTTTGACCAGTAATCGTCGTGTTGTCGTTGAGTGCGCTCCCTTATCCAGGTTCGCAGCTGCCGATAGGGTATGGGTATAATTGGCTCCGGACCAATGGCCGTCCTGCTAGACCCCTCCCTGGCTAAGCAGTCCGCCGCATCGTTACCCCTTGAGCCGCTGTGTCCTTTAATCCACTGTAGGGTCAATCTATTGTCGTTAGCAATATTAGTCAACTTACTGTGGCATTCGTAAATTAAGCCTGATGTCATTATATTGTTGTCCAGTGCCTGTAGGACAGAAGCGCTGTCAGAGAGGATACGAATGTGTTTACCTCTTACCCCGCGACATTCTATCGCCTCAGCAGCTCTGATGATGCCCACACACTCTGCCTGGAAGACCGTGTTATAGGCACCCAAAGCTGTCGAGATGTGTATATTCAGGTCTTCGGAGAAGACACCCGAGCCCGTACCACAGTTGGTTTTTGAACCGTCTGTGTAGACTCCTTATGCAGACAACGGTCCGGGGTGTCTTCATAAAGTTGAATTTTGTATTTTTTGTCAAATACGTACGTCTTAGGAATAAGGTCGTTTACTGCTGCAAAGTACGGAAAGTGCCTGTGTATGTCTGCCAAGATGCTGGTGTGTGGGGAGTTGTTGTCTCTCCAATGCCCCAGCATGCTTAGGCGCGTGGCTGTACATGCAGCTTCCTGTTGTATAAACAAGTGGAGTGGTCTCCCGTTAAGTATTGTCTCCAGTGCTGATGTGGGAGTGGTTTTCATGCAGCCGGTGATTGCACAGCATGCCCGCCTCTGGAGACGTCTTAACTTATTAATTGTCGTTACCTGGATTGTCTTGGTCCACCATACTACTGCTGCATAGCTGATGATGGGCCTAATTATGGTCGTGTATAGCCACTTAACAATGAGCGGTGATAGTCCCCAAGTTTTGCTAATCATTTTGCGACATTGCCAGAAAATGATGTTAGTCTTCGTTGTAGTTTTGTCTATGTGGGATCCCCAGTTCAGTTTGGAGTCTAGGGTTATTCCTAGATACTTTACCTCGTTGGAGAGCCTCAGTGTCGTGTTAAATAGTTTCGGTAGCCAATAGTCGCCTAATGATCTTTTATTCGTGAACATGACCAATTCCGTCTTCACTGGGTTCACCTTAAGGCCGTAGTCGTCACACCATTTTTCAACAACCCTCATTGCTCCCCGCATAACATCACAGGCGGTGCTCGCAAACTTACCTGGAATTATGATTGCAAGGTCGTCCGCGTAGCCCACCGTGTGGTAGTGAAGGTTGTTTAGTTTGGTAATTAAGTCGTTTACAACTACATTCCATAGCAGAGGCGACAGTACTCCTCCTTGAGGGCATCCTTTAGTTGCCACTGCTCTGAGATGGTTGTCGTCTTGTAGTCTGATTAGTCTGTTACGGAGCATGTTACTTACCCAGTATATAATGGTCTCATCGACTCCGTGTTTGCCAAGTGCGTCTACTATGCTGGCGAAGCTTGTTTTGTCAAACGCGCCTTCTATGTCTATAAAGGTGCCCAGACATAGCTCTTTCCGTCTGAGACTATCCTCTATTTTACTTACGACTGTGGTTTTGCAGAAGAAATTAATCTGCTTTAGTCAAGTTTAATTTAATTTTAAATATTATTTTTTTGTTGAATTCAAATCTAGTTTTATCGTATGATTTTAGTAGAAAATTTTATGAAACATTTAGATTATTTAATGAAGTTTTAACTTTTCTTTATGCAATAATCTTATTTAGATATGTAGTGGATATTGGGTATAATGAACACTAATTTCATTGTTACATTCGGAAGTTGTTGCAACTTGCAATAAAAATTAAAGAGACACACCCACATCTGTATAGTTTACATTAATTTATTCTTGGAAATATTTGCACATTACAACAATAGCTTTTTACGCACACACACACATAGTACATTAATAAAAATTGGGTAATATCAGTTTGCTTTAATATTTTTTCTGTGCTAGTGTACACCATAGATTTCAGCCTTCTCTTTAACAATGACTGTGCATCTAGTATCCATACTTAATCAAAAGTTTAATAAACCCCGTTGCTACTCAGAATATCACTGTGACTGAACCATAAAAACTCCAAAACATACGTTTTTAACACGTTACAGTATTTAATCCTTCATTATTTACATCTGACATATCTGAATTGTGTGTATACATGCATATCAATTTATAAATTACTTATAATTATTTCAGAATAACCCTACAGAAGCAAAAAACATGCTATTGCAAAATCCTCAACTAGCATATGCACTCCTGCAGGCTCAAGTTATCATGAGGGTTATTGACCCAGCTACAGCAGTAGTAAGTTTTTACACAGTTTAAATTGTTATTAATCATGTCATGTTGCACAGTAGAGGAGCTTGATGGCACATGTAGTTAGCGGGTTTGATGGCGATTGTTAAAGTAAGCAATCCTCGAAATGTTCCGTCATTGGATGGTTGACCGAAAAATTACTATCTCGAGCTCCTCCGTGCTTTGGAAGGCACGTTAACCCGTTGATCCCGGCTGCATCTCCAGTCGTTAACACCCACCAATCCGCACCGCGCACCGTCCCGTCGGTCACGGCCCAAATCTTCTTATTTCATCAATAGGGAAGGCCTGCGCCCGGGCAGATTAATAGGCTGTTGATGATGATGTTGCACAGGTGATGCATTTGACTGTCTTCTTCTTTAAGGCTTCATTTGGTTGTTAGCCTGTATTCGGGTGCACGAAAGACATTACTCGAATTCGGACATCCAATGCAATTTTTACAATGTTTTTACTCAAAAACGGACTGGAAGACGGTGACGCGTAATCAAAACGATAACAGCCCGAATACGGGCGTACTCGACTCCGTTCATTAGAGTACCAATTCACTCTTCACTGTTCTTTATTCACCTCACAGTTTTATATTAATCTCTGAATATTTATACTTCAAAATAAAACTTCATAGAAAAAAGTTACCACCAGTGCAGTGTTGCTAGGTCCGATTTAAAAAAATCGGGAGGCGTTATAGAAAAAAACAGTAGATGTATGGAAAGAGCTACAAGAAAAACAGTAGTTGCAGAGGCATACTTTTTCCGATTTGCACACACACACAAAACAGGACACACACAATTCATGTAGAAAAACAGTGGAACAGGAGAAATTTCAGAAAAACAGGAGATCTCCTGTAAAATCTGGAGACCTGGCAACACTGCACCAGAGCATTGGAGTCTAAAACAGTCATAGGTATATCAATAAGACAGGGGTCATGAATAAAGTTAGTCTTCAAAAATCAATCATCAATAGGGATGATGACTTACTTTTTTTCTTCGTCTATTAGGTAGATTATCAAAAAGTATAGGAAACTTATTTCGGACATAATCAATTTTAAAAAGTACAAATTAGAAACATCAAATAAAAAATTAAACTTTTAAAGTTGCCAGATTAAAAAAAACATCTTGTAGCTTGGTCAGTAATTCAACAGTAAAATCGTAATCCTAGCCTAGATTATACCTTCTTCTTCTGCCATTACCTCTGCATTACTAAAGTTCTTGAACTTGACCAAATAGCTAATTCAAACAGATCTTTTGCTGACAGATTCCTGTCCATTTCCTAATTATAAATACTTACTACAAATTAGAAACATCTAAACAATGATATTTCATAAAAGTAAGCTGTTTACACATTCAATATGAAAAAATAGATTATTCATATTTGTTCACTATATGCAATGACTTATAATATATAGACAGGTTATACGCCAAAATTATTGAATTTTAAAATGGAATTGTTGGTTGAAGTTAAAATGGCACAAGTAGTCTCCGCCCCAACTTCCCTTGGCAACAGCCTCCAACAGAGCACACAAAAGTAGTCTCTTACACTCTCATGCATAAAGCTGATTACAATCTCGCTCTTTAGCCTCTACGTGTCAACTGTGTCAGCAACTGTCAATAAGTAATCACTAAATATATTTACATTCATTTCTAAAAAACTGTACTTAAGCATAAAATGACACGTTTTTCTTGTCTCTAATAGTTGCCGTGTTATTTGTGTACTATCTAAAAACACATATAGGGCTTTTTGTTTGGAAAACCTTAAAATATTTACACTTGTAGCGAAGTATAGCCCCGGCAAGAGAGCGTGCCTGACTGAATGCAAATCGGGCAATTACCTGATTTTCGTATGCCATTTTAGAAGCGTGTATGACGTCTCTATTACCTTAAAAAATTTAGATTTCATGTTTAATAAAATATAGTATTGTCATTTATGAAGTGAAAAGTGCAATCTTGCTCTTGATGGTAATTTTTCTTTTAAACATCTTTTCATAGACTATGCTCCATCCATCAAATCCTCAACAGCCAGTGGAAAAGCCTCCACCCAATACCTACAATATGTCTAGTAATCAACCACCAGGTATATTAAACTTTTAATTTAATTCTGATTAAATAATAGTTTTAAGCATCAAATAGAACAAATTGATTCCCGACTCACCAACATTTCACTTAGTCTAGAATTTCATTTAATTTTCTTCATACTTTACATGTTGCACTTCTAGTCCAAGATCCCAAGGCTGCCAGATCTTACTTTTTTTCTGATGGATAAAATATGAACAATTAAGAAGAATTAGTGTGCACAATTGTAAACAATTGGAAATTAATACTGCTAGACACATTCTGTCAGCGGTATTTATTGCCAGACATTTTAAATGTCGAACATTTTAAGATCAAGGACAATGTATCGATATGTTTCAAACGCGTGTGAACTTTTATTAGAAATGTATTTAAATAAACTGAGAATTATGGTTTGTCAGAAACTCATTTCCATACCAACCGACAGACTCAAATTGCCAGATTGATTGTTGTGTGTTAGACGAATGTAAAGTGATGTAAAATTGTGTTTTCTTCCCCCATTTTGTGAATGACTATGCCCCAATAATAAGTAAGTGACATTATTTCAACCTGTTTTATCAAGTGGCTACAACGAGACTTGGTTGACTGATATGACCACTTAAAAGCCCTCAGTGCTTGCGGTGGCGGTGTGGGTTCCTTATTGGGAATCGACGACTTCATGTTTAGGGGTATTCCCAGGCACATCAAGGGAATCCCCCCAAACTGCGGAGATAGCGATGAAGCTAACGTAAATCCTAGCCTACTGAATGCGCGCAGACCGTTCCGTTCAGACTTCGCTGTTCACTAAGCTAAAAGTCGTAAATGGAAGAGAGTTACAGTGTTAAGTAAATAGTAGGTAGTAATATCCTTAGATTTATTTATCTAGAAATTTTATAACAATATAATAAAAATACTGTTTTGCGTGTTATAGTTCAACAACAACCACCTTCACTGATGGCAAATCCAGTGCTTCCACCCAACCAGTTCCCATGTAAGTAAATATAAGTACCAAGATATTCACACACGATATGATATAGATATAAGTGTAGTTACTTTGATTAAAAATTAATTGTATTAAATACTTTGATTCAGAAAAAATCTACAATATATATTGAGTACATTAAGTACGAACTTTGACAGATACGTCATCGTATCGTCATCGTTAAATTTTCTATGGAAGGCAACGATATTAAATACCCTAGATACACCAATACGAACAAAATCATGCTCCATCGATCCACGGAGCTCCGTTAAATGATAGCGTAGTCTAAACAATGTAACGTATTATTTAAACATTGAAAATCACCTTTAAAGCACACTGTCTTAGGTCTTAATTAAATCGCATGCGTCAAAGAGTTATGACAGTCCGAGATGTAAGCTTGTAAAATTTTACTACTTATATTATATTATATTTCGAAGCGTTCCAATTACAAACATCTACAAATTTATCCTTCTGGCTACAATTTTTAAAGGACCTGCTAAATCTTTGTGTATGCGAAACCTTCAGACACAAGGTGGTGGTCGATGTCCCATTAGTGTTGTTTGTCTGGTTCGTTCTACAGTCCCATACACTCACTTTTTTCACATTCGTTCGTGGCACAATCTAGCACAATTGTGGTTTATAGTAATAATAGCCCATGCCATATGCGGAAGAATATAGACCTTATTTCTTTGACTCTACGCGCAATTCTTAATGCACTATTAGCAATATAGCAGGTACGGATGGCGAAGAAAAGAGACGGCTATATTACCGACCCTGCATTGGAGTATCAAAAATATTTTCTATTAATTCTGTTCAATAATAATCACTAGATATGTTCATAGCATTTATTCAATAATCAAAGATGTCATATAAACAACGCGGTAACTAAGGTAGCGACTCCTTCATCGTGTTCTCTATTATATTTGAGAGGAGATTAGTATGCAACAAAATCAGTTTGTAGTTTTATAGTACAAAATTTGCTTCAAATGCGTTATTGATTAGATACCTGTCGAAAAAACGACATTTTATATACTACAAGTATTTATTTAGCATTTTTTCACGGAGCTCAGCAGCATGATGACTTTTCAGCGGTCCGCGCGTGACTGTGAACCAAGAAGGGCTTGAGTCGTGTTCAAGCCATTCTTGATAGGGACACATTTTGAGCGCATATAGGGAGTGTATATAGGGTATTTAATATCGTTGATGGAAGGAGCCAGTGTGTTCTTAGAGGGGGAGGAGATTATAAAATCTTACATTACCTATATAAGCTTGAAACTATTTAATAATTACACAATAGTTTATTTTAATTTCAATATAAGGATGTTGTTAGTTGTTTTAATATAAAACAAAACCGAATGTGTCGGTGAGTCGAAGCGTTCCAATTACAAACATCTACAAATTTATCCTTCTGGCTACAATTTTTAAAGGACCTGCTAAATCTTTGTGTATGCGAAACCTTCAGACACAAGGTGGTGGTCGATGTCCCATTAGTGTTGTTTGTCTGGTTCGTTCTACAGTCCCATACACTCACTTTTTTCACATTCGTTCGTGGCACAATCTAGCACAATTGTGGTTTATAGTAATGAGCGTAATTTTTATTCCGATCGGTCAGCCCGCGCGGCGATGGGCGACGTAGACCTGCGTGGGACCCGCGCGCCCGCGCCCATGCCCGTAGCGCCGCCGCCGTTGGACCAGGACATGCGCAGCCTGCCCATGCCGCCGCACCCCGTGCCACCGCCCGCGCTGCAGCCGGACAGGTGACTGCTGCTACATGTCTAGCCTCCCTATACCTACCTACCAGTCCGTGGCCGTCGCTGCTGGACCAGGACATGCGCAGCCTGCCCATGCCGCCGCACCCCGTGCCACCGCCCGCGCTGCAGCCGGACAGGTGACTGCTGCTACGTGTCTAGCCTCCGTATACCTACCTACCAGTCTGTGGCCGCCGCTGCTGGACCAGGACATGCGCAGCCTGCCCTTGCAGCCGCACCCCGTGCCACCGCCCGCGCTGCAGCCGGACAGGTGACTGCTGCTACGTGTCTAGCCTCCGTATACCTACCTACCAGTCTGTGGCCGCCGCTGCTGGACCAGGACATGCGCAGCCTGCCCATGCCGCCGCACCCCGTGCCACCACCCGCGCTGCAGCCGGACAGGTGACTGCTGCTACGTGTCTAGCCTCTCTATACCTACCTACCAGTCCGTGGCCATCGCTGCTGGACCAGTACATGCGCAGCCTGCCCATGTCGCCGCACCCCGTGCCACCGCCCGCGCTGCAGCCGGACAGGTGACTGCTGCTACGTGTCTAGCCTCCGTATACCTACCTACCAGTCTGTGGCCGCCGCTGCTGGACCAGGACATGCGCAGCCTGCCCATGTCGCCGCACCCCGTGCCACCGCCCGCGCTGCAGCCGGACAGGTGACTGCTGCTACGTGTCTAGCCTCCCTATACCTACCTACCAGTCTGTGGCCGCCGCTGCTGGACCAGGACATGCGCAGCCTGCCCATGCCGCCGCACCCCGTGCCACCGCCCGCGCTGCAGCCGGACAGGTGACTGCTGCTACGTGTCTAGCCTCCGTATACCTACCTACCAGTCTGTGGCCGCCGCTGCTGGACCAGGACATGCGCAGCCTGCCCATGCCGCCGCACCCCGTGCCACCGCCCGCGCTGCAGCCGGACAGGTGACTGCTGCTACGTGTCTAGCCTCCGTATACCTACCTACCAGTCTGTGGCCGCCGCTGCTGGACCAGGACATGCGCAGCCTGCCCATGCCGCCGCACCCCGTGCCACCGCCCGCGCTGCAGCCGGACAGGTGACTGCTGCTACGTGTCTAGCCTCCCTATACCTACCTACCAGTCTGTGGCCGCCGCTGCTGGACCAGGACATGCGCAGCCTGCCCATGCCGCCGCACCCCGTGCCACCGCCCGCGCTGCAGCCGGACAGGTGACTGCTGCTACGTGTCTAGCCTCCGTATACCTACCTACCAGTCTGTGGCCGCCGCTGCTGGACCAGGACATGCGCAGCCTGCCCATGCCGCCGCACCCCGTGCCACCGCCCGCGCTGCAGCCGGACAGGTGACTGCTGCTACGTGTCTAGCCTCCGTATACCTACCTACCAGTCTGTGGCCGCCGCTGCTGGACCAGGACATGCGCAGCCTGCCCATGCCGCCGCACCCCGTACCACCGCCCGCGCTGCAGCCGGACAGGTGACTGCTGCTACGTGTCTAGCCTCCGTATACCTACCTACCAGTCTGTGGCCGCCGCTGCTGGACCAGGACATGCGCAGCCTGCCCATGCCGCCGCACCCCGTGCCACCGCCCGCGCTACAGCCGGACAGGTGACTGCTGCTACGTGTCTAGCCTCCCTATACCTACCTACCAGTCTGTGGCCGCCGCTGCTGGACCAAGACATGCGCAGCCTGCCCATGCCGCCGCACCCCGTGCCACCACCCGCGCTGCAGCCGGACAGGTGACTGCTGCTACGTGTCTAGCCTCCCTATACCTACCTACCAGTCCGTGGCCGTTGCTGCTGGACCAGGACATGCGCAGCCTGCCCATGTCGCCGCACCCCGTGCCGCCGCCCGCCCTGCAGCAGGATAAGTGACTGCTGCTACGTGTCTAGCCTCCCTATACCTACCTACCAGCCCGTGCCGCCGCTGCTGGACCAGGACATGCGCAGCCTGCCCATGCTGCCGCAACCCGTGCCGCCGCATGCGCTGCAGCCGGACAGGTGACTGCTGCTATCATCTTTAGCCTCCCTATATCAACTTTCATGTCACGTTGATTTGCCTACTTTACTTAGAATTTTATACCATTTGGATAGCTGAAAACATTTGTAAGTTATTATTACAGGTTATGTTCTATACAACTTTTTTTCATATTTTTTTTCAAATTTAATTATTTATGGCCTGAATCGACTTGGCAAGAAAAAATAGAATGACAGCTATAAACGATGAAACTTTTAGGGAAAAAAAATATATGCAATTTTTATAAAACGTTTAACAGTAGGTCATAGGGTCAAATTTATCAGCATTGACCTAAATATAAATAATATTGACCTTAAAAAATATGAAGGTGAACTTTTCCTGTAAATAATCAAATCTGAAGGTAGGTTATGTAATTATTCAGTTACGTAGTATCAACTACATGCTGATATGATTATTAAAATACTGTCATTTTATTTAGTCTCGCTACATATATGGAACAATTAAAGGAGATGTAAGTCAGATTTGACGTCATTCTACTCAACACTTGCATTTGCATGTTTTCGTTACATTTTTAGTTAATGTTTTGTTATATTCTATTACATACTATCATTACACCCCGTTTCGTCTATTTCCTAAATTAGTTATAGAGGTTTCGTTATATTATTTAGCAAAACGTTTCGTCATGATCTAATTTTGTATGGAAAAAGCTAGTTTGTTCTTACGTCCGATGGGGTTCTGCTTAGTTTTCACAGCAAGTTAGACGATGCGATACGATTACCGGAGCTGTCAAAATTCGTGCTTGGGCCTCCGAGTATCTGCACGTATTTAAGGCCCATCCCGGGGCAGTATCCTCTATCTACAAAGATTGTAGCCAAAATCAATATTCTATAGACCTAGGGTTGTATTTCAACCGTCGGTAAGTAGCAGAGCTCCACATAGTACTCCACATGGGGTGAATTGATGAGCTCGGTGGCGCAAGAGGTTGGCGTATTCGGCTGCGATCGTTGAAGATAAGCAGCTTTCGCAATGGTCGGTCATTGGATGGGTGACCAAAAACTTTCAAGCTTCTCCTTGCTTCAGAAGGCACTTTAAGTCGTTGGTCCCGGCTGCATCTGTTGTCGTTAGCACACACCAATCCGCACTGGGCCCGCGTTGTTGGTCACGGCCTAATCTTCCTATTCCATCCATAAAGAAGGCCTGTGCCCCAGCAGTGGGAACATTAATAGGCTGGTGATGAATGAATGAACTGATAATATCGCGACTGCTTGCTTGTAGATGAAAAAGGGTGCCTCTCGTTTTCATCAAGATAAATCGGATTAGGTTAGAAATCAGGCCACTGCCGCTAGTTTTGTTACATGAATTTATTCCGTTTCCTTAGTGGTTTCCCGCGCGATCCTCGCCTCTCCAACACGCCGCAGTTCTGTATTGACCCGCGAGGGCGCTCCAGCGACCCCCGCAATCAACAGAAAATGTCTACACGTAAGTTATCAACCAAATTACATCAAGTTAATAAGCAGGTGTATGTAAAATACTAAGAAAACAATTATTAAGAGCCCTCACATTTTTTGCAAAATGTCGTAATTTTTGAGCGCCTCGTTTACCCCCTTAGAAAAGATTTTGACTGTTTCCAATAGAAGTAAACAGTAGATTTATTCTTTCTATTGTAAGTTAATGTAGAATATTTGCAAATACTATTTTCCTTTTTTGTACTGATCGTTCTACTGCAGCTAGTTTACGGAAAAAACGATAATATGCACAACTTCAAACGCCGCATTCTCTCAATAATGTTGAATCAAATTAATTTCTAGGACATCAGAAATATGTTTTTGTTGTAATATAATTTATTAAAATTTTGATTTTCCATCTCATTAATTATCAAAAAATACTAACCTCCGTGAGTTTTTCCAAAAAATAATGCAGGTTTACCTCGTATATTGATATTGAATTAAATAGAATTACTATCAAAAACTTTCATTAAACTAATCTACCATCATTGACCTATTGAAATATGTAAATATTTTTATAATTAGTTCATTAATAATAATTTTATAAGACTCGAAACATCACCCGTAAAATGCAATATATACTAGTGCAAATCTACCTACGCGCCGATTAGTACGGCAGCGGCGCAATTTTTTAAAGGGCTCTTAAGAGCCAGATCACAGTCCTTTCTTCAATGGCACATTCTTAATGAATAGTAGTGTGAGTTTATAAGACGACTAGTGGTGTGCCCTCGCTTTGCTTCGGCATAGAGCTGTAGTAAAGACTATAGTTATTGTTCTTGGGCTTGTATTATACTCAATAACTTTCTTTATATGATTATAAACCATCAGTGATTTTTTTTATCTGATAGTGAACAATTTGCTGCGTAGTTTAGGACCCGCTGTAATAAGCTTTTAGCAGAACAATGGTGTATTCGGTACAAGTTGTATCGAATGTACTATTGCTCTGCTGAAAGCTACAGAGAAATACGAACAGCAATTGATTTTTATATAAAGAAGATATACCTACATAGATTAAGGGAATGTAAACTATGACATAAAAATAAAAAAGCAGTCGTGCGTATTCCCTATTCAACTCTATTATGTGCTTGGTAGATAGACAGTCATATTGAACGTAAAGTGTGTCCGTGTGTTATCATAGTGGTGTCGATTCTGGCGTGATTCTCTAAACTTAATTTAACATCAGCCTCTCCTTTTTATTCTATATAGTAACTGACAAGGATACACTGTTATAAAATTTAAGTTTAGATTTAGAGAATCGTGCCAGAATCGACACCAGTATTAATTGAGGAGGTAAGGAACAAAAAGTGACATTTACGTATTTTGCTCTATTCGGTTTTTTATTTTAATCAGCTGAAAATGTTAAAAGTGAGTAGTTTCACAGAAAAAGTGATTATTAAGACTTGAATTTAAAAAGTGACATATTCATAAGAAATACATTTAAAAAGTCTTTAATCTGTTCAAACTAGGAACCTGATTGTGGAGAATTATATGTTTAAGAAATTTTAAATTATGAAAATGTTTTGTGTGAATCTATTATTATTTTTATGTTCATACTGAACGTTTCATAAGGTAACATTTTTAGACAGTAGGTTACAAAAGGTGACATTTTACAAAATTATTGAATCAAATAGTGACATTTACATGCTATTGCATCAAAGGGTGTCATTTGGGTTGGTTTTGTTTGCAAGTTTTAAACCAGCAAGATAACCTTATAATAATAAAAAATTATAAAACAGTTGACATATATGTAAATGGTTAATAATAAAAATTGCTTAGAATAATTCTCAATTTATTCAAAAAGTTAAAAACTGTTAATGACACTTTTTGTTCCTAACCTCTTCAATTTCTACAGCGTTATAACTTCTATAGTGCGCGCGGAACTCGCCGCGCCTTAGGTGGCGACAGGGGTGAGGGGGCGGGTTGCCGACCGCTCGCAACGCACATGAGATTAGACAATGATAAATCAATCTCGAGATATCATGAACAATATAACTGTTCAATTATTGACAAGAATAAATAAAAACCAATTTAACTTTAAGAAGTTTATATTGGACCAATCTAATTATATTGTAATTAAAAGTAAAATCAACCAAAAACAATTGAAGTACCTTTATGAAATTAGTCTGAAATGTTTTAACGAGATATGACATTATTTAATCAACTTGTATTTTCTTTTTTATTTCTTTTGGTCGCCGCGGAGAGCTAAATTTTGCTTCCCCTGTATTTTGCAAGGAAGTTTTACTTACAGCAATCACTCTCCTTACACTTCTTTCTGATATCCCTGTTGCTTCTGCTACTAATTTATTTAAATTCGCATCAGTTCTATATTCTAAACTATTGACATCGGTTTACCGTTTTTTAAAAAACGTATGCACTTTTTAATATTATTTTCTTAGATTGTCTTTTTATTGGCGGACTCATCTCGCTATTGCAATCTCATGTGCGTTTTGTTTGAAGTAGCCGGGACTTTCAATACCTGTTGCCGTCGCGAAGTACGGCGCCGAACTGATTACTAAGTAATGACAGCAAGCGCCCCCGCCTCTCCGTCCCACCGCTCACATACTTAGGGTGCGGCCAATTAGTTCGATTAGAGAGTAGTGATAAATGATCACTATGATGATTCTTCGATGATGAGAATAAAAATGTCGCTTTTTTTATACCATTTTATATGTTCAATTTACTCTTTTCCTGATTACTCAACTTTTGTATTTTTGTGCTTATCTTAAATTACTGTTTTCATACACAGAGCAATTGCCGCCCGGTATGCCGAGCATGGCGCAGGCGAGAACTATTCAGGGCATACCGTCTGGAGCCTCCGATCAAGAAAAGGTACGAAAAATACTAAAACGGAATATGCTCTTAGCGAGAGATTTATTTTTGGCTTACCTATACCTACTCTAACATATCAAGCAAGATAGATAAACTGTATAGTACAATTTTAGTTTTGTTATTTTATTACAAACCAGTACTTACGCTTCTGGGACGAGCTCAGTGGCGCAGGTGTAGAGCGTTCGAACTGCGATCGTAGCAGCAGCAACTTTCAGAATGGTTGTTAATTGGATGGGTGACCAAAAATTTATTATCTCGGCATTTGTAGTCGTTAGCACCCACCAATCCGAGCTGGGCCCGCGTGGTGGATCACGGCACGGCCCAATCTTCCTGTCCCATCCTTCGGGAATTCCTGTGCCCCATCAGCAGTATGATAAAAGATTATTCGATATTAATAGTTATAAGCATGTTTAATATGTGAAGGTTTTTAATTAGCTTTTAGACATTTTTTTTTGTTTATTTAATATTTGATTGAATACTGTAAACTTTCCTAAAATAAGAGAAGAAATAAAAATTTGTTTATTATACAATAATTGATTATTTGGTTTCCCCTAGGCCGCGCTGATAATGCAGGTGCTGCAGCTGTCGGACGAGCAGATTGCCTTGTTGCCGCCCGAGCAGCGCGCCTCCATCCTCATGCTCAAGGAGCAGATCGCCAAGAGCACCCAGCAGCGGTAGACGGCCATCATAATCCCATACAACACATTCACTACTGGCTGATCATCTCCAGAAGACAAAAAAAATAAAATATTGGCATTTACCACACACGTGTTTTAGTAACAACAGTGTGTAAGCGCGCCAGCATCCTCATGCTCAAGGAGCAGATCGCCAAGAGCACACAGCAGCGGTAGACGGCCATCATAACCCCATACAACACATTCACTACTGGCTGATCATCTCCAGAAGACAAATAAAATAAAATATTGGCATTTACCACAAACATGTTTTAGTAACAACAGTGTGTAAGCGCGCCAGCATCCTCATGCTCAAGGAGCAGATTGCCAAGAGCACCCAGCGACAGTAGGCTGCCATCACACAACCAGGCAACCCCAGCGAACACAATGACAACTTGCTGATAATCCCAAGAAAAAACCCAAACCCTAACTTGTTCAGTAGATAATAATATTATTTTTATTGGTCTGCTGGTATCGGAACAGAGAAGTCGATTATCCTTTCTACAGTGCTTTAAGTGTTATAGATTTGGTCATACCCGTGCCCAGGAGCGGATTTAAAAAGCCCCCCCGAGCCCCTACGTAAATCCGCTCCTGCCCGTGCCCAATGCCGTTCTAAGCCTCGCTGCTTCTGTTGTGGCCTTGACGATCCTGGTGACTACCTACCTATTATGCCACTCAATATACCCGAAACATGGACGCCTGAAAAATCATTAAGGCGATCATGGGTGAAAAGTCCATTTCTTATGCTGAAACTAGCAAAAACGCGCCAGCATTATCCAAACCTTTTGCGGAAAGAAAAGACTTGACCGCTTCTATTGTTTAGATTCCTATAGTCATACGGGCATTGCAGGAAATGAATGAGCAGATTCCCTAGCAAAGTATGCATTTTCTAATGAAGTTGATCGATAGCACTTCTTTGTACGAAATTATGACCTTCTTAATTGTGCAAAGGCTAAGTTGGGTTCATCTTGGTCTTCGGAATCGCGGCGAAGCTCAAAACAAAAGGACATGGTATATGCATCTGTTCAACCGGATATACAATTAAAACCGCGCTTTTACAAAAGAAGGAACTTACTTAAACAAGTTATATCAGTTTTATCTAGAGTACGCCTCGGTCACTGTGTTCTCTGTTATTTTTACATAAGCTCCATATTGTGTGAATGTGATCTTGATGACACATTTTTTTAGACCACATATTTTTTTTTCCTCCTCAAAAAATTCGAAAATCTTTCAATCTCTATAGCGAATTGGTAAAAATTAAGGTCCCGCTTCCCATAAACATTTGGTCCCATTTGGCATTATTTCCCCACAAATAATTCTTAAATATTAAATTGTGAAGCTAGGTATAGTGTAAGTACGCGGAGAATCCCTAAACGGGGACCCCGCGACTTCGCATCAAGCAGCGTAGAGGATATTCGAGGATAGATTTAATATAACACTACATAGTAAATTCTACTCGGTCCAGGAATTCTTGAATTATAATAGCTAATATATAAATAATAGACATTTTGGTGGATGAGATTTTGAGTGACATATTTTTATATTTTTGACTATTTATTCTGTGACCTGTTAAGTAATTTTTATTCAATTATGTGAAATAGTATTAATTTGATAAAAAACTTATGTAAATTTGCATGCTACGGTCTATAGCTGAATAGGTGAAACCTACAGTATAGTTATGTGTAACTATTTGTGACCATGATTACCCTGTTCAAACGCAAATAAATAATTATTCTTTTCGCACGGTTTTTTAGCGGATAGTATGCCGTTAAGCGTGCTCGTAAATGGCGCGGGTTACTTTGGGGACTAGCCCCATCGTGCCCGTGACGTTTGCGAGTGCTGGGTGTGAGGTCCGTTCGTCAGTGTGCCTCTTATAGAGAGGTCGAAGCCGAGGTCTGTAAATACAGGTTTTGCCTGCGTTAAAAAAAAGGGGTATTGTAATAAACTATGATCATCATCGACCCATGCTCGTCCACTGCTGGACATCATAGGTCTCCCCTAATGCACGCCACTGCTCCCGATTTTCTGCCACTCTCATCCAGCTTACTCCAGCCAGCCTACGAATGTCTTCATCCCATCTTGTCTCAGGGCGTCCCACACTGCGTTTACCGAGTCGCGGTATCCACTCAAGAACTTTACGGCTCCATCGGCCGTCAGTTCTGCGGCTAATGTGACCAGGGGGCCAATCGCCTAACTTTATTGCTTTGGAAAACGCTATCGCTTACGATTTCATTTTGTTATATCTGACCGCCGAAGGTTTTCAAATACCTCACGCTCATTTTATTTAATATTGTTATTGCCAATGCAAAAGAAAAAAAAAGAGCGCGAGGCATTTGAAAACCTCAGGCAGCTAGAAATAATAAAATGAAATCGTAAGCGATAGCGTTTTCCAAAGCAATCCGGTTAGGCGATTGGCCCCCAGCCCACTGCCACTTCAGTTTGCTAATTCGGTGGGCTATGTCAGTGACTCTGGTTCTCTGTCGGATAACATAATTTCTGATGCGGTCCTTCAGGGATACTCCGAGCATCTCTGAGCGACTTTAAACTGGTGGACCAGTCCAGCCGTGAGTGTCCACGTCTCGGCGCCGTATGTCATATCTGGGAGGACGCACTGGTCGAATACTTTCGACTAGAGACATTGAGGAATGGGTGACGAGAAGACTTGACGGAGCTTACGAAATGCTGCCCAGCCAAGTACCTATAAGTCTTTAAATGACTCCTTTTATGATAACAATGTAAATTTATTAAAATATGCTTTGGAAAAAAATGAAAGCGTCTCGTCCTGTCTCGTTAATAAAAAGAAATACCCTTTTACCAAAACTAATTTTGTGCACGTCTTTTCCAGAACTAAGCTGTCAATTCGAGAATGATCTCTTAGTACGGGACACTGGCAGTCGGGCCTCAGAAAGAAGGCACATGAGCAAAAAAAAGTTTAATAACAAAGAAATGGGAAGCCTTCAAAGCTTTCATTTTTAGACCATAGACCTTCTTATGAATGTGAAATTTTGGTATATGATCTAAATATATAAAGGAATAAACTGTCTGAGTGACTGACTGACAGCGCACAGCTCAAACCGCCCAAACATCAACGCACAGCCCAAACCGCCCAAACAGCCCACGAGTCTGGAGACTCGCAGAGTTCGGCACGTTATGAGGTCTGGGGGTGGACTAAGTAGAAATTTTTCAAAATTCCCCCCGAAGGGGGGGGGGGGGGGATATGTACAATAGGGGATGAAATACATGAAAAATCTTATTCATTGAGTGACAGTCACAATGAATACATTCTAAATTCGATTGTTACTCATTCACGCAAAAACTATTGAACGGATTTGGTACCTACGCATATAGTTTATAACCTGGACCTTTTATCCCGGAATATGTTTCTGAGGGATTTTCATAAAACTAAACTAAGCTGACGAAGACGCGGGAAGCCACTCTCGTGTCCCATATAACATTTAAACAACAAATACTGAAAGCTCCGTTTAATTTTAAAAGTTGTAATGACAAGCTCGGAAAAGAAATTATAAGTCAGTGACATTATATAGCTTCAATCAATAACAGGATAAATATATTGGGGTTTGAGAGGGTGTCGAAGTTTTTATGATTGATGGTATGTATATCAATTATATAAAAACTTCCACAAAATTACAGCTCTCTAGTGCCAACAGTCTCCAATCAAAACCTCGGACGGACAGACAGGCAGACAACGGACATGACCAAACTATAAGGGTTCCTTGTCAGGACTACAGAACCCCAATAAGAGTCTTGAAGAATAGGCTTGAAAAGTCATTTTGCTGTTAATATCAGCAGTATATAATTATCGCCTGACCCGGGGCCCTAAATTACTCCATGAGTACCGAGTTGCCGGATTTCATCACCAGCCTTCATATTTTTTCCCCACTTGGATTTTGTTGGTCCTCTAGTTAAGCCCTTAATGTCGTCGAGCCGTCGTTTTGGTGGGCGCCCTCGAAGTCTTTTTTCCTCCATGAAGTCTTTATGTCGCCATTAGAGAATCCTTCTTGCCCATCATCCTCTATCCGTTTAAGCCACTTGACCCACTTAGCTCCAATACTTCAGTTTGGTAGAAATTGTGCATCGCAAATACGACATTAATTGCACACCCGTGCGTAACTTTTTGTAACAGGGTAGAGCAAGATTCTTGTGACCAAGCATGTCTGGGATGTCCTAATAAATAGACGGATCAGAGCAGTGCAACATGCTTTCTTCCCAAACATCAGGAACCTTACAGACAGAGGCAAAAGCACGAGTTTTTCACAGCTCCTTAAAGTATCGTAACCATCAAATTTTGTATGGAAGAAGCTAGTTTGTTCTTACGTTCGATAGGGGTGTTGCTTAGTTTTTTTTTAAACTTTGACGATGCGATACGTTACCGAGCTGTCAAAAACTCGTGATTGGGCCTCAGTAGTCATTAGGTTCATAGAACGAAGTGGTCCTTGTGTTTTCAACAAGAAGCTTAAAAAGATAGGTACCGAGGAAAACATGTCCAGAAGAAAACCCAGAAGCTGTGATTTTGACAAAATTTCATAGGTAGGTACTCGTTGTTATTTACCGTTATGCATTTAAACTTTTTTATATAAATAAACTAAAAAAATTTCGCTCGGATAGCGGAAGATGCGTCTGATGCCTGGACTGAGCGGACTTTTCTAGTAATTGATTTTTCAGTGTTTGAAAATAAAAATATTAGTTAAATAAAAAAATCTTATTTTTTTATTGCCGATCACTTTTCACGAAGGTTTCTTCACGAAATCGTCCTTAGAAGATAGATTTATTAGTACAGTAGGACGCCGATTATCCGAATTAATTGGGACCGGGGTCGATTCTGATAATCGAAAATACGGATAATCGGACCTAGACAAGTAATAAAGAAAAACGAACTGCCACACATAGAATAAACTTTATTACGTTTAACAAACACAGTTCTACAATACTAGATACAATAATAGAGGTACGTAGTAGCAAAACAAAATTAAGAACAGTAAAACATGTAGTGTCTTGCCTCTAGCTTTCAACCATTAACAGTTGATATAAATATATATAGGTATTTAACATACTCGCTGGACTTTAGCGAGTTCCAACTTATTAGAACAAAACAAAAATGACTTGGTTTTAATTTTTTATATTACGCTTAGGACCGATTCGGATAATTGGCGATTCGGTTAATCGGCGTTCGGATAATCGGCGTTCTACTGTAGTATTTTATCGGTATTACGTATATCTACTGAAAAAAGTCGTTAAGTAGGTACTAAATTAGATGTTAAGGATAAACTGAGCTACTGTGAACCTTTGGTAAGTACGCATGCTACGTACCCCAACTTTAAACCCCCTCCCTTAGGAAGAGCTTATGTTCATCGGATTTTGCTATGAGTATGCCCTTACACACGAACAAAGTACTTATATGTACTTGGCATCCTCATTTCTATAAAAAAAAGATACTGATAGTTCGATCGCAGGTATTTGAGCACTTGAGAATAATTAAGAAAAAACTGTTTTATGTGGAACGCATCAAATCGTGGTTAAGTCCGCTGACTTAACCACATCTAAATCCAGTATCCAGTTCCTTTAAGATAAGTCAAATTATTGTGATTATGTGATACCTATTTGTAAAACCCATTCAGTCTTATCAATATCAAACACTTCCTTCCACAAACAAATGCGAATACTATCATAATCATAACATTACGTAATACGTGAACGGGTATCTTGTTTATATTCCTTATCACGTACGTGACGGGGGTATCGTGCATCGGATAAAGATAATACATGATATTAATAGTTAATTAATAATAACTAATGAGGAATAATTATCGTGCTTAACATGCTTTTCCAACTGGTGCCCAATGAAATGGCTATTTTCCTAGTTTGCATCCCCAAACCGGTGATCTCAAATCTATACTTAATAAAGTTGTGGTTTGTTTGTTTCTTGAATGCGCTAATCTCTGGAACTAATAATAATGACCCGTTTTGAAAAAATCTTTTTGTGTTGGATAATGCCAGTGTTGGGCGTAATTAATTACTTTTGTAAATAAATTTAATTACTAATTCAATGAATAGTAATTGAATTACTGTATTTGAAATTATTTATTTATTTATTTACTCTTTATTGTCATTTACAACAAATGGCGGACTTAATGCCACATGGCATTCTCTACCAGTCAACCATCGGGCTAAGCTAAGACATTATGCGGTAAAGTAAATAAAAGCAAAAGGTAAAGGAAAAAAAAGTTGATAAAACTACATGATACTTAATATAAAAATTATAATACATAACATCTATAAATATACTTACATAACTACATATATATACATACATATTTATATATATGATAAATACCTAAATATATACAATAATAAATACCACTACACTTACTTAAGAATACTATAATAAAACAAAATACAAATAATAATAAAATATAATACAAATAATATTAATATTAGGTGGATTGACTAGAGTTTGATCATAATATAGAAATTGAAATTGTTATGACTTCTTAGCGAAATGCTGACGTACGAGGACCTTGAAAGCAAGTTTACTGGGTGCTTTTCTCACACTCTCCGGAAGATCGTTCCAGCGACGAATAGCTTGGAGACAAAATGAGTTTGATACGAAGCTGGAGCAGTGGGAGGGGATGGACAAAAGAAGATTTTCAGATGAACGAAGAGGACGAGAGTGTGTGGAACTTAAAAACTGAAATTTGGACTTCAGATAAGACGGAGCATTACGGTCAAAAAGAATTGAGAACAGAGATGTGAGAATTCTTAAATCACGACGGTCTGAAAGAGGCGGCCAATTGAGTTCACGGCGAAATGAAGTAATATGATCATATTTCCGTAGACTGAATATGAATCGAATACAGCTGTTAAGAGACCGCTCCAATTTACCAAGAAGATCTTTATTTAGGTCAGGATAACACACATCAGCATAATCTATGGATGGTAGGACAAGAGCCTGAATTAAAGAGATTTTTGTGTGAACAGGGAGAATTTTTTTATATTTATAGAGGGCACGGAGCACATTTGTGACCCGCCGACATGTCTCGTTAATGTGAGTGGACCAGCTAAAGGTAATGTCAATGTACAAACCAAGATTCTTAACACTTGGAGAAAAAGGAATTTGCATGCCATTATAGACAATTGGACTTACAGCGCCAATATCAACCTTACCATATTTGGCGAGATCCACCAATAATAATAGCCTGGCACTTAGTCGGGTTGACGGCAACACCAAAGCGCTCAGACCACTTGCAGAGCATATCAAGATCCTCATTGAGGAGAGATATAGTAGAGTCTCATCAGAACTGCAACGGCGGTATAACTGCAAATCGTCGGCATACAAATGAAACAAACAGCGAAGAAAGGTGGATATGAAATTGATAAAAACGGAAAAAAGAAGTGGTGAGTGGTTTAAATTACTGTAGCTAATTCAATTACTTACGTCTGAAGTAATTTAAATTACATTAGTTTGTAATTCAAATTACTCGATTACTTTTTAAGGGTAAGGTAACGTATAAATTGAGCGGTTATTAGCTTGATGCCCGTACGCAGCACAACAAGCACAACACAAAGTTTTAGTGTATAATTTGCCATGAATTTATGAGTGTGTAAGTGTATGCCTCATTACCTATACCTACACAGCTACCTATCCCTTTTCTAGTCTCTCGGCGGCGTGCACCTTTTATTTCGATTGATTGTTCTCATAAGCTACAATGATTAACTTACCAAAATCTTATAAACTTTCTGATCATATGTTTGAACAAAGAGTAGTATTAATGTCTAATTTAAAATAAATTAAACAGTTATTGTCTTAATTTTAAATAAGGTGGTTACAATTACACAATTTATCTGATCTATTTCGTAAATAAACATTTGATAAATCATAATATAATAGTTTTATTTAAAATACTACCTCGTCTTTAAAAGAGATTATATATAAGTAATTGCAATTAACAATCACAATTGCTAATTATTATTATTTTATTATTTATTTATTATATTATAAGAAATACAAATTTAATCTTAAGTGTAAAACAGTGTCTCATAAACCAGTATTGGTTTTCCCGGACACTGCAACACTGTAATTGTTAATTGAATTACATTTCAATAATTTCAAGTAATTTGTAATTAGTCACCAATTACAATTTGTAATTGAAATTGTTAATTTGAAGTTAATTACATTTTGCCCAACACTGTATAATGCATGTATTGAGGAAGGCTAGAGGCTATATAATATAACGCTACGACTAATAGGAGCTGATCACTAATGAAAAATGTTGCAAAAACAGGAAAAAATATTCCATTTGTGAACATCCGTTGAGTGCGCTGTGCTTTGTAAACGGTAAAAGTTACTCAAAAATCATGTAAGACGGATTTATTCACCATTGGAAGTTCTAAAAAAGTTCGCGACATTATATTATGCCTTTCATTTAAAGGTGTCCGATATTTTAATAATATTATTAAGAAAAGACAAACATTGAACAAAACGGAAACGAAGTAGGTACTTTTAATTAATGCTAGGTTGAAAAACTTGTTTGACTAAAATAAGTTTGTTATCAATGCCATCGATCAATTCAATGCTAAATAAAATTGAACTTCAGATGAACGCACGATTTTGTATTTTATGTTAGTTGCCGTTGTATCTTCAAATCGAGATACACAAAATCGAGGGGTCACAATACATGCAAAGTGAATATCCCGGTCCTTATTAATAATCCCTGGCTACGTATAATGAACAAAAACATTAAGCGACCTATAATACAATGGCCAAAAGAGCACGATCCCGCGATTCCCAGTAAAATCAGCTACTACAAACCTAGTTTTTATGGGAACAAGATTGCATTTACACTGCAGCTAAAAATACAAATCATTGAAGTGAAGTTTGCCAAGGTGTAAAATTAACTACTTGACACCTATTTCTGTGTTCTGTGTACTTGAAAGGTGTTTTGTTGTTGTTCTAAATATAGGTACGAATTTATGAAATATCGATATTGGATAATATCATTCCCGTGTGTTTCTTGTGCAGCTCCATTTCTCGGCTGTGATAATTTATTTATTGGATAATATCATTCAATCATTCGCGTGCGTTTCACGCATCCGACGGACGTGCGTGTACTGCGTACCTACATTGTAGGTCTATTTAATATTCTAATTTTGCTTTTCGCAATACGACAATAAAAGAAGTGTTTATTTAGAGACGAACTAAGACATTGTGTAAGTAATTTAGATATATATTATATAAATGAAACAATTTATGGGAAGGGTACTAAATTTTCACTTCCTTTTGTTATTTATTAGTCGACTGAAACTAGTTTTTTTGTAGTATCTACTATATTTATCAAAGTAGTAAACAAATACCTTTAGAACGCAATATAATAAAAAAAAATAACATAAGTGGGTACCTAGTTAATTTCTCTTGAATTCGTTAACTCTACAGGTGCGGTGGATATGAATTTTATATTTACGGTGTTCATAATATTAACCCTTGGACTATACGGAGAATGCAAATGGCAAAGCAATGAATATTTTCATCATCATCGGGTCAGAAGACCCGTCGCTAATCAAGTGCCTTTTTATGATGATAAGAAGGCTAGCATCCCTGATCCCCCTGACCACAAGAAACTGATCCCAATGGCCAGATATGTCTTGCACAATACGAGTAAGTGAATTATTTACGTACTCAACTTGCACTTACCTAACTAAGTACCTAACATTTAATGAAAATTTTTTTTGCTTGAATTTTTATGAAATTAAGAAGTAGGGCAAGGTGGATTTTGTCATCGTAATTTACTTTCGCTTCCTATTTATCGAGGTAAAAATTCTGGATAATAGGGAAGATGCAATATTTTTATTTTTGTTTTCATTTTAAAGAATTCCATGTAGAATAAACCACAGATATAATAAAAAATTAAAACATTGTGATTTATCGGAAAAAATGCGGTTTCAAATTGACAATTTAAATTTTCGCGCGAAAACGAACCTATGGTTGCAATGACGTCACTCCTGTCTGTCACTGGTCGTACTTGTTCGTCGCTGGCTTTAAATTTTCATACTTTTGTATATTTTTTCGACTATTTTTTTCGAAATATTTTTTTGAAAAATTTAAAATGGACTATCCATAAACATCGTGTGATCATAACAATACCACTAATATTCCGAAAAAAAGCCGTGTTGACTCATGTTTTGTGCCAATCTACTTCAACAAAGTTCCCAAATATATTGTTTTTGACTGGAACTTCTGACCCAAAACTGAAAAAAAGTGGTTTCAAGCTGCGAAGAGAAATGACAATTATTCTCCAAAGACCATTATTCGATGCTGACAAGATCACTTTGACATAAGTCGGCGAATATACTTGTTATATGCTTAATTAATCTGCTTGTACGTAAAAACGCATCAGTAATGTCGGGTTCCTTGATAAATAACAACCATTCAATAGTAATCACCGGTTTAATTCCACTATTGATTTTACATATTCATTACGACTATAGCACGCCATTAACATTGCACACAGACTACTGTACCATAGATTACATGAGCTGATCACAGATTAGCTACACATACATAAGGTTGTCTTTATACTCTACAATTACCTTCTTTCTTTTTAAGAACTTAAATTATTCATAACATGCAAACATAATCAAATTTTATAACATTAATTAATCAACTTGGTAATCAGAACAACTAATTTATATTATAATCGATACAGTCCAAAATCAAATTTAACACAAAATCATTATATTTAGCAGGAGCCTTATATTCTCTCCTGGGTCTACAAACACTATCCTTAACCATATTATCAGAATCAATACATTCATTATTTTTGTCAATCCTTTGTTTTATTTTAGTTTGTATGTCTGGGTAAGTATGTCTTAAATCCTGTGTGTGAGTCAAGTCCTTTTTGTATGTCAAGTCCTGCATGTTGTCATATCCTAATCCTCCTCCAGTACATTCCTCTATTGTAATACTATTCCTGTTTTCTCTTCCCATACCTTTGCTCCACTCTGTACCATTATTTTTCCTTCCTTTTTCTGTATCTGTATTATCCAATCCAATCTCCCTTAAATCTCTGTCTTTCACTCGTTGAAAATAACTTGAATTCCTTCTCACCACTCTCCCATCAGCTGATTGAGCAACTATTGAATTTCCCTTTTTCCAAGTGACTTTATATTCTTCTGGTGAAAACGGAGTAGATAATTTATTCTCCTTTCTTTGCTTAAGTAATACCTTATCTCCTAGAACAATATCTGAAATCTTAGCATTTCTTTTTCTGTCTGCATGTTCTTTGTATTGATGTTTCTTGTATCTATCTTTGTCTCTCATGTCTTCATCATTCATAACAGATTCTAACAGGATCTCTGGAATTTTAGATCTAATATTTCTTCCTCTAAATACATTACCAGGGGGTAGGCCTGTTGTTGAGTGAGGGGTGGTGCGATATGCATGCAAATATACAAGTAGTTCCCTTTTCCAATCCCGTTTTTGTGCTTGTGATATTCGGAGTCTACGCAAAACATTTCTGTTTTGGCGTTCCACTTCGCCATTCGCCTGTGGCCATAATGGTGTAGTGTGCCTGAGTATAATATTATTAGTCCTTAAAAAGTCTATAAAACGCTTGTCTCTGAATGCTGGTCCATTATCACAAACAATTTCTTCCATTATTCCTTCCCTTGCTATCACCTTTTCTAGTGTTCTAATAGTGCTTTCTGCAGTTTGGTTCTTCAAAATTTCTACTTCAAAATATCTACTATAATAATCTACAATAAACAAGAGGTAGTGTCCTGATGGTAGAGGTCCAAGAAAATCAATTGCAACTGTCTGCCATACTCTACTGGGAAGTTCTGTGGGTGTCATAGGTTCAGGTTGGCAGCTTTTTCTCACTAGCCGGCATCCTTCGCATGTATCAATCCAGTATTCAATATCTTTATCCATTCTATTCCACCATAACTTAGTTCTAAGTTTTGCCTTCATTGAGTTCAAACCAATATGACCTTCATGTCCTAATTCTAAGATTCTTGGTCTTAGTGACTTTGGTATGACAATTCTTGTCCCACGTAGTACAATATTGTTCATAACACATAATTCAGTTTTTATCAATTCATATTTTCTTAAATGTTTGTCCCATATATCAGTATCAATAGCTCCAATAACTTGTGTAAGTTCTGGGTCATTTTGTGTAGCATCCTTAATTTCATCTAAAGTTACAGCTTCTACAGAACCTTCTATTAATGCTAGCAGCCCTTGATCTTCAATATCTTCTGTGTCGTTCATATTTTTGTTGTTAGTTAGTAGTAATCGTGAGAGGGGGTCTGCAATATTGTTCTTGCCTGGTCTATATATCACTTTGAAAGTGTAAGGTTGTAGTCGGAGAACCCAACGTTGTATCCTCGCACTAGGCTTGGAATGTGTAGAGTAAATCATTTCTAAAGGTTTATGGTCAGATATTATGTTAAAATGTTTTCCAATGAGGTACATGTACAGATTTTCACATGCCCATACTATTGCTAGAGCCTCCTTTTCAGTCTGGGAGTATCTTTTCTCTGTATCAGATAAAGCTTTGCTTATGTATTTAATAACAACAGGTTGCAATTTATTCTCAATGTTTTGGTGCTGGATTAGAACTGCTGCAATTCCTACAGGACTTGCATCAGTGACAAGAGTAGTTTGAGAATTTTTATCATAATATCCTAATGCAGGGGCTTTAGTTATGAGTTTCTTTATATGCTGAAATGCTTGTTCATGTCTTTGGTTCCATGTAAATTCTGTGTCCTTCTTGGTAAGGTGTCTTAATGGTTCAGTCAAAGTGCTAAAATTTGGTAAAAATCTTGCTGAGAAATTGGCAAGTCCTAAGAAGCTTCTAACCTCTGATTTATTACATGGTGCACGAAATTCCTGAATGACCTGTTTGCTAGATGTTGTTGGTTTTATACCAGTGGCTGATAAGTGATGACCTAGGAAAGTAATTTCTGTTACACCAAAGCAACACTTTTTCTCATTCAAGGTAAGTCCATTTTCATGTAGTTTGTCCAGTACCTGTTTCAGTCTTGAGTCATGTTCCTCTCTTGTCCGCCCACCTATCCTTATATCGTCTTGGCTATTTGCCACTCCTTCAATCCCTTGTAGCAAATGTGCTACTACTCGTTGAAACATTTCTGATGCACAGCGAATTCCAAAGAAAAGTCTTTTATATTGAAATAATCCTAAGCTCGAACTAAATACAGTTATGAATCTTGACTCTTCAGCTAACTCAAGTTGATGGTAACCCCATTTAATATCTAAACAGGAGAAGTACTTACAGCCATTGAGGTCAGCAAGCAACTCTTCAAAGGTAGGTAGAGGTACGCGTTCACGGAGTACTGCTTCATTGGCTTTACGCATGTCCACTACAAGCCTGTACTGGTTCTTTTCTTTCTTCTGCACATTCATTCCTGATCTTAACAGATTCCTAAAAGCCTTTTTATCTATTATGTTAATACAAGCACCTGAGTCAATTATAAATCTGAAAGTAAGTTTGCCGTCCACTATAATATCATATCTGTTATTTATTGCATTAATTGGAAATATTGTATTCACTGTAACATCACTTTCACTGTCACTATTTTCTTCATCGGAGTCTTCCGAGCTGGAGCAACTTTCTACTAAATACCGGACATGCCTTCTGTTTTTCTTTTTGTTTCCTTCTATTTTCTTACTTCTTCTTGTCTTTTCTTGATATTTGCTCGATCTTGTTTTGCAATACTTTGCAAAATGACCAGTTAAACCACATTTATTGCACTCAACTTTAATAGCTGGGCATTCGGGGTCTTTGGCATAATGCCCTCTTTTACCACATCGATAACATTTTTGGTTTGACAATTCTCTCACTCTATTTATCTCCGTTGTTGCATTTTCCAATTTATTGCTTGTGTCTTTTATGGCAAGTTTGTCCAAATTTCTCTCCAATTCATATAGTTTAGCCATCTCTAAGGCTTGATCTAGCGTAAGGTCGCCCCCTTTTCGTAGATATTTGCGTTTTAAGTCCGGATACACACATTTTTCAATTAATTGATCCCGAATCCTTTCTTCTTGGTCTTTATAACCACAATACTTTATTTTTTTTCGCAGTCTTAACACATACTGGTCTACAGTCTCTGTGCCGCCCATTTCTTCCGATCTAAATGATATCCGCTCGTAGGATATGTTCGATTTTGGAATAAAGTATTTATTGAGACTCTCCAATGCATTTTCATAAACATCGCCGCCGCCTTCAACGCCATCTTTGACAATTTCATAAATTTCTTGCACTTCTGGCCCTGCATGATGTAACAATCGTGCCAATTTTTGTTTAGGAGCCAGCCCAATCTGCCCATCAATGTAGTATTGGAAGTTTCTTACCCATATTCGCCACTTTTCGTTGCAGTTTTGCGGGTCCGCATGCGGATCGAATCTTGTTCCCGAATATTCATGACTATTCACGTCTGCTAATGACATTTTACCTTTCCGATTTTTTTTTTTGCTCGTCGCCATAAAATTGTCGGGTTCCTTGATAAATAACAACCATTCAATAGTAATCACCGGTTTAATTCCACTATTGATTTTACATATTCATTACGACTATAGCACGCCATTAACATTGCACACAGACTACTGTACCATAGATTACATGAGCTGATCACAGATTAGCTACACATACATAAGGTTGTCTTTATACTCTACAAGTAACCTACCTAATACTTACACAACCTGTCTATAACATATTTTTAATTTTACAGTTGGAGAATGACGTCGAAAATTAGATAAAGTTTAAAATGTGTGGCACAATCTTTACATTGGCAGGACTGAACCAAGCTTTGCGTTTCATTTAAAATAACTGTAACACGATAACCTTCTTTACGTACTTTATGCTCCGGAGAACTCGACCTTTTACTGTACATAATTCTCCATCTCTTTTTATTTGGACATAGCCGATTGCATTATCGCCGTAAGATTTGTAGAAGCCGCTGAATAAAATACGAAGTTTAACAACTACGATTTTTACATACCGTAGTAATTTAGTCCCTTTCATTTCTACACTTAAAAACTCTGCACTTTGGACAAAAAAAGTTATAACCATGTCAACACTAATGCGCTTACCACACGCACAAGCTTCACCACAGTTTGGCTTGCGCAAGCATCTCGCACGAAAAAACTGTACGCTTTGTGCGTTACCACACGGCACAGTTAAGTACGCGCAAGCCTCATTCTTATCGAAATCATTGGCGTGGAAACAATGTTTCTTAATGAAGAAACATTTCTTATGCTACTATTTTTAAAGTGTTTGCTATTAAAAAAAACATGTAAAAACGATAGGATATGTACAGTATATGTGTAAGTAGGTAGGTAGTAGGTATTAGGCATAGGTATTTAGTTGCAAAAATTATGTTTTTACCTCTTTCATTTTATTTATCATTCTTTCGTAGGCGTCGTTCTTTTTATTTCGGTCGGAATAATCTTTAGATTTAATTTTCCAGAGTGCAGGCAGAGATTTGTATAAACTTATTAATTCAGACGTGAATTCGTGATTTTACGTACGCAAATCTGCCATTTTTGAGTGACGATGACGAACGACCTCATGAAACGATGAGCGAGCCTCGACACAAAGTACACTCGACTGTGGCTTGAACACTGAACGCCCAACCACACGCACAGACAAGTACGCGCAGGCCGGGCTTGCGCAGGCAAAATTTCAAGCAAGTCGAAAAATGCGCAGGCCGCGCTGTGGGGTTGGCGCGTGATACAGTTTTACCAACTACACGCACCGTGTTCTGTGTACAAACCGGCCTGCGCAGGCAAAACTGTGGTGAAGCTCGTGCGTGTGGTAGGCCCATAACTCTTGGTAAATTCCTGGAGTCTACTTTGATAAACGCAACTTCCATTTTTATTAAACGTAAAAAAACGCAATTAATATTCCCATAAAATAATATTTACTTTAACAACCATAACCTCAAAGAAGTTGTCATAACGGGAGTGACGTCACTAAACACTGATTGGTGTTATAAAATACGTTCTGTTTCAAGTATTTCAAATTCGTAATAATTGTTAAAAAACAACATTATGTAAAATAAAAACGTTGCAGTGGCAATTCTTTTATATTTTTTTAACATTTTAATCATAAAATTTTCATAAATATTATATATGCATCTTCCCTATTTTATAACTACAAAAAAAAACTTTCGGTTTGTCTTGAACCGAGTCCTAAGTAAATAATCAACTTTGGAATAACAAAAAACCTAACCTAACCTAACATTTAATGAAAATTTTTGCTAGCAATAATCTTTCCATATGAAATTTTTTGGATAGCAGTCAATAAACACTATAATTAAATAAAGTACTTACCTAAAACGTCACAAAAAAATGTGGTATGGTGATACCATACCATATTTTTTTATACCATACCATATTTTTTTCTCAATAGATTGTGAATCTTATTTTGAGCAAGTTATAAAGATCAAAGTCAGTTGGAGAAACTTGAAAGTTTTGGTTGATTTATTGGTAGGTCTAATTGACCTGTGGCTGCCTGTCAATCAAGAAATCAAGCCAGTTTCAGGGCAAATATTCAATAGTTGGATTAAATTTTACTGTCAGATGAAAAATCTATCCGCAGTAGTACCAAAAATTACAATGAATGACAAAAAGAAATTCTTACTTTATCGCTAAAAGCGAGATGAAACAGATAAGTTTTATTATTGTATCTAAGGGTTGAATAATTTGCCCTTAAACGCTTAACAGGGATAAAAGTTCTTGCAGCACAATGGCTAGCGCATCTCGATTTTGCGAGTTTCGGCGCCTAATACGGCAAGTTTGTAAACAGAAACTTTATATTTTCAGATTGGGCATCCATAGCAACTATATCAATTTTACCCAATATTAAAGGGTTTCCTTTCTCCAATGTGAAATCCATCGTGGACGGCTCCCTGGCCAATTCTACCGGGATTCCGTACTTCTACATGTCGCCCATGGATTTCACAGCTCGGGATTTAGCAGTAAGTATCTAGGTACTTACCTGGATTCTAATGCATACCACTAATAAACATAATATTTTGGATAAGCTGCCTTTTAACAATATGATAATATTATAAATGCCAAACAAAGATATCGTTGATGACAAAGTTAAAGTTCGAAGACAATGCCTGTTGTTTACACTTTCGCATCTCACCAGTAGTATCGATTATGATGATATTTTATTATGGCCTTTATACTTTTTTTGTAAAAATAAGAACGTAAACTAACTACATCAGGGGCATGTGTTATTTGAATCCGCAACTTTTACGCTATTGATTTATCAACAAACGAACACTAGGTAATTATAGACACAACACAAAACAAAATAGCACTTTCCAGTAACTATTTGTCCATTACTTTTGAATATTTCCATTACTAAGGTATTAGCATTCTTAGGCATTTCAAACATATACAAAAGTTATAAATTCTTTGTCCTTGGCATAATGATCAAATAGAATTCTGCATTCATTATGTCTGACCGCGGGTTTGTTTCTTGTACTATCGAACCAATTGCGTCTTTTAAATAAAATTCTAATAGTAGTATGAGTTTCGAAACTTACAAAATCGTCAATATAACAGAAATTCTTCAGCTCTCTAACACAAAAAAACTTTAGTAAACTAATAGGGAAATCCTTAGTTTATGGGCAAGAGGAAAAGTAGGGTACGTAGCTACTTTTCCTCTTGCCGCAATTTCGCTATTAATATGGTTGTTTTGTTATAAATTAGTGAAGCACGAACATTTGTTTAACCTTCAGATATTTTGAAGATTAACTGTTAAATTTGATGTTTTGATGATTATTATTTTACACTATTGGCCGAGAATTCTACAAAAACCTAACATTATTCTGGGTTTTTTGAAGTTATACTTCTTTAGCCGCGTTATGAAAAAATTATGAGAGTGAAATTTTAAGATGCGCGCGCATCACTGTAACACAAAAGTAACATAATGAAGTTAGCCGCGGGCGCGTTATGAAAAAATGATGAGAGTGAAATTTTAAGATGCGCGCGCAACACTGTAACAGAAAAGTAACACCATGAAGTCGGCCGCTAATCCGCTAAACCGCACATTACTCGTAAGTCTCGAAAAAAAGCTTCCAACAAAATAGTAATAGGATCTCTTAGTCGCACATGTTGGGACGCTCGTCGCCTCTGATCACTGTTTTTATATTTATAATATTTATCCACATGTTTCTAGTTTCTATATTCTTAACACGTGTTATAATGTTATACAAATGCGAAATTTATATGTGCTAATAAATTTTATTCAGTAGTGATTTAAATTGAATAGATTGATTATTTATTAAAATTTTCAAATCAAAACTGAACTTTATTGACTGCGTTGACTATCCTTTTCCAATCCTTTTATTATCTTATTGTAATTAATGATCTGCATGCAATTAAAAACTATTTTTTAATAATTCCAAAAAGAAGTATAACTTCTCACGCGCGTACTTAAGTACACGCACCCATATTTTTTTAATTTATTGTAGGATTTTCTACCCAAATAATGGTGTCGATTCTGGCAAGATTATCTAAACCTAAACATAAATTTGACAACAGTCTTTCTTTGTCATTCTCCATAATGAATGAAAAGGAGAGACTGATCTTAAATTTAGTTTTAAGTTTAGAGAATCATGCAAGAATCGATACCAATATCTTGTTAACATTGACGTTATGTTCAAAATTTGACTATAGGTACTATGTTTTATGTAGAGAAATAGCCGCGCCACTGTCCTGGTATCATTAGAGGAAACCAACTACTGCGAAGAAAAAGGCATCGATCCGGAGGACCCTCGTTGCACTAGGTTGATTCTATCAGGGAAAATGCGCAAGGTAATGTTTCAAATATATCTATACCAACTAACTTAACTTCGTTTTAACGACACAGATGAATCGGGTTCAGGCGACGCGTTACTAATGCGAAGTAGTTGATGCGGCATGTCATTTAGGCATACTCGTATCTACCGCAGCTACGAGGAGACTATTGCTTGAATTTTTATGAAATTGAGAAGTAGGGCAAGGTGGATTTTGTCATCCTAATTTACTTTCGCTTCCTATTTATCGAGGTAAAAATTCTGGATAATTTTATAACTACAAAAAAAACTTTCGGTTTGTCTTGAACCGAGTCCTAAGTAAATAATCAACTTTGGAATAACAAAAAGTTTAGTACCTACAATTACTTACCTACAGTTTGATGAAAAAAAGAACAACTTGTTTCAGTGATAGTACTTATGCATTGATTTATTTTAAAACTCATTCATTAAAGTAAGTAAAAAATGTACAATAATACTATTTCTCTTTAGGAAAACTGACTTGTTTATTTTATATTTAGGTGGCATAAGGCCAGTATCTAAATGCGACATGTACCTAAGTACTATATACTAAGATGTTTTTATAGTTATATTATACGTCATTGAATGCGGTTTGCGGACACATTAATAAGCGTTGTTGTTGCTCTGTTAGAAACATGTTAACAGTATCTGTATACCTAAAAATGACCTATATTGAAGAGGTAGACGATAATAATTATAAGTACTTAGAATAAAGTCTCAAATCGCATTAATACTGGACACCAATGGGTCTAAACATACCTACCCATTATTTTCAATTAAAGATGAGCTCGATGGCTGGTAGTGCGTTTGGCTGCGATCGTTGATGTTAAGCAACTTTCGCAGTGGTCGGTCAATGGATGGGTGACCAAAAATCTTCTATCTCGAGTTCCTCCGGGCTTCGGAAGTCACGTTAAGCCGTTGGTCCCGGCTGTATCTGCAGTCGATAGTACCCGTCAATCCGCACTGGGCCCGCGTAGTGGGTCATGGCCCAATCGCGCCCTATTCCATCCTACAAAGGAAGGAGGGAAGGTCTGTGCCCCAGCAGTGGGGACATTAATAGGGTGATGCTGATGATGATGGATGTTTCAGGTGAAAGAAGGAACTCCCGAGTATACGTTTGCTAAAGCGGCGTTGTTTGAAAGGCACCCGGCTTTTGCTAATTTCCCTCCAGGTAAGTACTTTTTTTTTATTAATATTTAGATATTCTAGATATTTTTTTTCAATAATGGCAGACAGGCTGCTTTACACGCTTAGCGCTGCTTGCGTATGCAGTCGGGTAAAAAGGTAATAAGAGACTTGTGGGCTGGGCGTGGCCACGTGCGTAGATATAAACATATACCGAATCTATGGGTGATAAAGAAAAGAAAAAAGTAAAAGTTACAAGTAGAACTGTTTTTAAACAACTTCCGAAAATGGGGGAGTTTTTTTTCTTGTTTATTCACTGTGGCCTGAGAGGCCGCGAAAATGGTGGAGTAAAATAGCAAAACTGGTTCTAATACAAATTACTGACTATGATGATGTTATTTAAATTTATATTTATTAATATAATAACGTGGTTGAGATAGCATATAAATAAATGATTATTTATAGACATTGAATATACCCACTCTGACTAATACCGATAAATCTTCGATTGATGTTTCATTTAGTTACCTACTTGATAGTAAAGTTTTATCCACGAAAATGAAAAATCAGAACTTGTTGTAAAATGCATAAGGAAACAGACGGCCACAGCCATTGAGATCCTGACAAATCATATTTACTAACAACTTTGACTAGATAGGGCATCGAACCTGGCAGCTCGCCGGTGGACGACATCATGATGACATCAAGCTTCGCGCCCACCTCTTCTATAAATAAAAAACAGTGAGAAAGTATGAATCACCCCTCCCAGAACACCTAGCCCCAGTGCCTAGTAAAGATCGCGTGCTACGCTACGCGGTCGGCCCGGGTTCGATCACCAGCCGAGGAAGGACTTTTCTATTATTTTCCACTTTATTTAAGTAAAAACAAAAAAATTAGGCCATGAAAAACACTTTAAAAGTTTCACTTGCATCGTGTTTTCGTAAAACCACACTATTTTTTGGTGAATAATTTTTTTAGTAGGTAGAATCTGCATCCGTATCCGACATGAAATATAAATTACTAGCAAACCAGTGAACCAAATGTTCACCAAAACATGATTTAAAAAAAAATGTATTTAATTAATTGAGAACTAAAGAAAATATAACTAGAAAAAATTTCACGCGGACCAGGCAGCAGACGGGACTCGAACCCGCACCCTTCGCAATCCGGGCGAATGCACTGACCAATTATGCTACCGCGGCCCTCACGGACCGCGTCGAAATTCCTTCTAGCTATTCTTAAGCTGCAAGGCAGCGCCATCTCTTCGCATTATAGGTAAACCCACAATGTCAAATGAATACTTTTACAAGTATTAAACATTTGAAAGAAGAAATAGCAATTATAGTTATAATTTTTATTATTTTTAAAGCATGTAACTGCTTGATGTTTTAAATCTAAAGAAAATATAACTAGAAAAAATTTCACGCGGACCAGGCAGCAGACGGGACTCGAACCCGCACCCTTCGCAATCCGGGCGAATGCACTGACCAATTATGCTACCGCGGCCCTCACGGACCGCGTCGAAATTCCTTCTAGCTATTCTTAAGCTGCAAGGCAGCGCCATCTCTTCGCATTATAGGTAAACCCACAATGTCAAATGAATACTTTTACAAGTATTAAACATTTGAAAGAAGAAATAGCAATTATAGTTATAATTTTTATTATTTTTAAAGCATGTAACTGCTTGATGTTTTAAATCTAAAGAAAATATAACTAGAAAAAATTTCACGCGGACCAGGCAGCAGACGGGACTCGAACCCGCACCCTTCGCAATCCGGGCGAATGCACTGACCAATTATGCTACCGCGGCCCTCACGGACCGCGTCGAAATTCCTTCTAGCTATTCTTAAGCTGCAAGGCAGCGCCATCTCTTCGCATTATAGGTAAACCCACAATGTCAAATGAATACTTTTACAAGTATTAAACATTTGAAAGAAGAAATAGCAATTATAGTTATAATTTTTATTATTTTTAAAGCATGTAACTGCTTGATGTTTTAAATCTAAAGAAAATATAACTAGAAAAAATTTCACGCGGACCAGGCAGCAGACGGGACTCGAACCCGCACCCTTCGCAATCCGGGCGAATGCACTGACCAATTATGCTACCGCGGCCCTCACGGACCGCGTCGAAATTCCTTCTAGCTATTCTTAAGCTGCAAGGCAGCGCCATCTCTTCGCATTATAGGTAAACCCACAATGTCAAATGAATACTTTTACAAGTATTAAACATTTGAAAGAAGAAATAGCAATTATAGTTATAATTTTTATTATTTTTAAAGCATGTAACTGCTTGATGTTTTAAATCTAAAGAAAATATAACTAGGAAAAATTTCACGCGGACCAGGCAGCAGACGGGACTCGAACCCGCACCCTTCGCAATCCGGGCGAATGCACTGACCAATTATGCTACCGCGGCCCTCACGGACCGCGTCGAAATTCCTTCTAGCTATTCTTAAGCTGCAAGGCAGCGCCATCTCTTCGCATTATAGGTAAACCCACAATGTCAAATGAATACTTTTACAAGTATTAAACATTTGAAAGAAGAAATAGCAATTATAGTTATAATTTTTATTATTTTTAAAGCATGTAACTGCTTGATGTTTTAAATCTAAAGAAAATATAACTAGAAAAAAATTCACGCGGACCAGGCAGCAGACGGGACTCGAACCCGCACCCTTCGCAATCCGGGCGAATGCACTGACCAATTATGCTACCGCGGCCCTCACGGACCGCGTCGAAATTCCTTCTAGCTATTCTTAAGCTGCAAGGCAGCGCCATCTCTTCGCATTATAGGTAAACCCACAATGTCAAATGAATACTTTTACAAGTATTAAACATTTGAAAGAAGAAATAGCAATTATAGTTATAATTTTTATTATTTTTAAAGCATGTAACTGCTTGATGTTTTAAATCTAAAGAAAATATAACTAGAAAAAATTTTTCACGCGGACCAGGCAGCAGACGGGACTCGAACCCGCACCCTTCGCAATCCGGGCGAATGCACTGACCAATTATGCTACCGCGGCCCTCACGGACCGCGTCGAAATTCCTTCTAGCTATTCTTAAGCTGCAAGGCAGCGCCATCTCTTCGCATTATAGGTAAACCCACAATGTCAAATGAATACTTTTACAAGTATTAAACATTTGAAAGAAGAAATAGCAATTATAGTTATAATTTTTATTATTTTTAAAGCATGTAACTGCTTGATGTTTTAAATCTAAAGAGGAGTGAGGGCCGCGGTAGCATAATTGGTCAGTGCATTCGCCCGGATTGCGAAGGGTGCGGGTTCGAGTCCCGTCTGCTGCCTGGTCCGCGTGAAATTTTTTCTAGTTATATTTTCTTTAGATTTAAAACATCAAGCAGTTACATGCTTTAAAAATAATAAAAATTATAATTGAGAACTTCGGAGATTTTGTGTGGTTTCGTTTGAAATTCGTGATTTCTCGAAAACCGGAAGTGCTACGTTACTCAAATCCGGTTTGTAGTCTTATCAGACTATTCTTAACTTATAACTTAAACATTCTCTTTATCTATCTCTTACGGTTTGGCCGCTGAAACAGCACCACAGACAGACGGACGGACGGACGGACTTGTCTAATAGATAAGAGATAAAAACCATATTTCAGTGGTACGTACGTGCTCTGGGGACCGAACCCCTAGCCCTAAGAGCGTGGCGGTGTGTTATCCACTAGGCTATCGTGGCTTAGTGCATGATGTCACATTTATAAACAACCTCGTATGTCCTCTTTTCGTCATGATATCCTTGTTTCGCGTTGGTTGATTTTTACTTTCTTTAAAAATATTTCTGTAGGTCTTAGATTATTTAGCACAAATAATAAATGGCGACCGCCTTAAATATTGTAAACTGGCCAAAATTTCTACTAATTTTATAATCTACTGTAGCTTACCGGTAGTCTTCCTCACGATTTGGTAGACTAGGTACGGTAGATTTACAACTCTAGTTAAGGAAGGTAACGCGCGAATCCCATAACTTGGAATACCAGCAGAGTATCGCAAGGTACCTATGGGAGGATTGGGAAGAAATATATATATATAATATAAAAGTGTTTTTACCACAAAATTGTAGATACCTTCCTACATGTAAGAACTTTGGCAACCCATTTTGGACTTACTGTTAATACTGAGAGCATTTGTTTTGTTCATTTATAGACCACAACTGGTTCGTGGCAAAGCTGAAAATCGCACAGATCGCCATGATCGACTGGTTTGGAGGCGCCAAATACATACCGGTGAGGGATTACTTGGCGTACAACTACACCGGATTGGAAATGCTCCAACACGCACAACAGACTCAAGTCACGAGCATGACGTAGACGAAAACAATTATTTAGGTACTGACAGCAAACTAATCAGTGACACAAAACAATTTTATACCAAAGCAGTCAAACTCAACATATTATCAAAAATGTTTATTGAAAATAGTTTTTGAATAGTAGAAAATTACTGTTTTTTGACGCGCTCGAGTGGAGAAACTCAGAATTAGAATATATTATTGGTAAACGTCCCAATAAGTGCATACCATTTACTTTATTACTATCACTTTACACGTGCATGACCTAGATCCAATTAATAAAAAAAGGGTAATGGAACTTGAATAAACTTTATTTTATATGATACACCATTTTGATTATCTAACTTAAAAATAACAAATAAATAATATTTACATAGCACCATAACATTGGAATAGAGATTGTTAAATTATATTAACTGAATCTACCATCAACCAAATGCACAATATTGCTTACAAATGACATAGACTTTATCAATAAAGTGAATAAGTGTTTGTACCTACTAAATTACACTTAATATGAATTTGAATAAATACATATTTTTTACTTTTACTCCACTTGTTTACATTGAAGTCCCACAACCACCTGCACCTGCAATAGTTATGAAACTACCCTACTTAGCCGGACAGTCATCCTTTGCATGACTGCCTATGTGTGCAAATGCATTAGTTGGCGAAATCTACATTTTCTTTTACTCTAAATATTTTGAGTTATTTGAGGAAGAAACAGTAACGACCATACCTTGCATTTTATTCTGTGTCCTAGACTTTTTCATCAAAGTATACTTATATGCTCTAATAGAGTTGTTTCTGATAGAGGGCCCATGGTTGGTTTTTCCTACTGGTAGGAACACGGTATACCACTATGTACATGTAGTCATACCACAATAGGGTGACTAATATGATATCAACCACAGGCCCTTGATCTTCTTTCTATATGGTTTTTATTGTTTCCCTTCTTCTGATAAACTTGAATTAACCATCAAATGATAAAGCCATGATCAGAGTTTACCGCTGATATCAGAATATACACATACCTATTATTTGCTTCATCAAATTATACAAGTTGATGATAATCACAAATTGTTTTTTTCCAAGATATAATAAGTTAATAATATTTTAAATGAAAATACATCAAAATAAAATATGAATCAGTTTCCGAGTAATACCTATACTTATTTTGTATTTTTTTTTATTGTTCAAAAATGATTGTATTATAGTAACTGAACCCTACCAGTGCAATGAACGCAGGAGGCAACTGGCCGTGCAGTAGTACCACTATTGCTGTACGCATGGTGAACTAAAGCATTCAAAGAGTCATCATTCATCCTTTTAACTACCAGGGGCATTGCCATTATCTGAAAATTTTAAAGAAAATTTGGGTCTTGTGTGCACGGTTAATTTTAAAACACCAACAACCTCTTAGGGGGTGATTCTACTCATCAACAGGAACAACTTTTACTATGGGACCACCTCTGAAATAGCAAAAAAAAATCAGCTGTTTCATACATTTCGGTAATTTAGCTGATGCACTTTTGTATGAAACAGCAGATTTTATTTTCGCGATTTCAGCCTTGGTCCCATAATAAAAGTTGTTCCTTTTGATGGGTAGAATCACCCCCTAAGAGGTTGATGGTGTTTCAAAATTAACTCTGTATACCAAAATTAAAATAATTCTGGAATTTTATCAGGTTACACATTAATACTAAAAACAATTTTCCTTATATGTCAACTCATCAAAATACTCACATTTTCAGCATTTTTCTCGCCTTCAGTTATAGTCATCAAATCATCTAAGTGACTTATATCCTGCTTCTCCACATTGCTGCTTATGTTTTCTGACAATTTCAGATTTACTGATGCCATGTCCAAAATGTTAGTAGAATGTGGCATAGTCACATTAAAGTTCAAATTGCCTATGGGCCGATTGTACAGTTTGTTTGAACCCATATACTCTGAGATTGCAATATTCTCAAGAAATTTTTCATGAAGGCTGTATAAGTTGCGATAGGTACATAACATCATGTCTCTTGCTCTACATCTTTCATCTAATAACTTTTTTACCGCTTGCTGTAGATTTTCAGTCTTCTCTGTTAGTAATTTCTTACAATTTGCTAGCTCCTCCACCATTAGGCTAAAAAATTATTGATTTTATAAACTAAGTTTGCTACTTTCTATTGAGCATAATATGCTATATTTTATATATAATGCAGTTACTGAGTAAAGGATCTAACTTTGGCAAATAAACATACATTTATATAACTCTTTTTCGGCTATGATGAGGATTGCGGAAATAATCAAAAGTTTGACATTTTGCCCTAATAGTGTAAACTAGCAACAGTCTAAAATAGATCTTTCCTATAAGTAGTCTGCTTTACACATATTCAATACAGAATTGATAAATTAGATGGTTTAGGAATTACAGTTTTGTTCTTTTCATTTTAAAGAAGGCCTTTAGATAATTAAATGTATTATGAATAATAAACATACAATCCCACTATTTTAGGCCCATATTGGGCTGTCTAGTGCTGTATGATTTGAAAATTACCTGGATGCGAGGAATTTGCTTCGCCAAACTTCACACTGGCCGGCCAACCATTCTGTTTGTTCCTAATAAACATACAATAAATGTGTAATTTATTAAGTCTGAAATTAACTGTTTCTCATGGTGCTACTAGTAGGATAAATTAGTAGGACCATGAGGAAGCCCTATTCTTCATAGTCCTACTAGTAGAGCAAATTAACAAATGATAAATTTTCATGTTCCCTTATGTCAAATTCAGGGTATGATAAGAAAGTATAAAAAACAAAATAAATCTAAAGAAAATTTTTACTACAAAAAATTCAACTCAGTAAGGTTTCAGGCAGGATTAGAACCTGCGTCTTTTGCTGTCAGGGCGTGTTCACTAACAGTAAATTTAGCATAGCATAGGTTAGTTCACCCGCCCGGACTCCGTTTGGTTTCAAACAGGACTCAAACCTGCGTCTTCCGCTGTCAGGGTGGATACAACAATAATAGTTATAAAGCGATTAGTGCATCTGTCAGGACTGCAGAACCTTGCAGAGTTGATTTTTTTCTAGCAATAATTTTCTAAGATGACATGTGACATAATTATAAAACTAATAATAAATAGCCAAAATTTTTTTATGTTTTCTAAGACAATCTAGGAAAATCTGGTGTATTATACCGCAGTAGGACTATGAGGAACTAGGCATTTATAGACATTATAATTTTTTATAGTTAAACTCCAAAGTAGGTAGTACGACAAATTAGTAGGATCACAAGCAAACGGCCTAAAATCTTCATATCATATTTATAGAGAAGGAAATATAAAATTGAACTTCTAATCTAATACCTGATGTGTGGAGAGGTGTTGAGCAGAATTAAGTAAAGCATTGGCTAAATGTTTCTTGTCCTCATTTAGAGACTGAACTTGAGTCTCTAAATCTTCTCCCATAGATGCAACCAACATAGTTTTCAGTTCTTTATTGACCTATAAAGTACAGCAGATTTTTTATTGTTGCATTATGTTGATTAAAAATTTTGTACTGAATTGAATAGCTCATAAATACATGTTTCAATAAATTGGATTCAAATAGAATTAACCATGACAATATTTGTCATGGGTAAAAGGGAGCACCTGAACTTGTTGTTTTAGTTGTTCCTTTAATGACTCATTTTCTTTTACTAGTAAATCAATCTTGTTTTGCAGCTTGTCTTTTTCAGGGCATTCTTTTACAACTTCGGAAGTTGTTTTATCACTGTTAGAGTACAATTTTTGCCGAGGTTTGAACTCATTCAAATTTGTATTCATTTGTGCCATTTGAGATATGAGTATGTTAATATCCATGTTATTTCTAGACTTTTTAATGCCTTTTGAAACAGTTTGAGGGGTCATGGGCTTAACAGCACCTGCATATGGTTCATAAGGCACAAATTTTGGACTTTTTGAATTTATTGACTTCTTCCTTTCCGAACGGACTATATTTGTAGGATATACTTGTATGAGTCTTCCTGAAAGTGAAGTGCTTTTGTCGACAGTTGAAGTTTTCTTTTTTGGGTTTATCTTTTGCCCTGGTTCTTGTGTAGATTCATCGGATTCCATGCCATCTCCAGCTGTTCTTGCTTTACTCATAATTTCTGTTCAACAAATATTTTTTTTATTAGTGTAAAGAAATATAATCACATTACTTATCCAATTTGATTACTCACTTGGATGAAATGGTGAAAGTTTTTCCATATTTTTTCTGATAAGCCAAAAATACTTTATAGAAATTCAGTATCAACAGATTACAGATGTTTATAAAGTTAATAGATTATTTATTCTTATTATTTAGAAATGGTAGATAAGATTTCTTCAGTGATGGCTTAGAAAGTTTACATTTACAATTCCTTATTTCTTCTTTTTTATGGCATGCACGGTTTGTGCGTTCAGCCAATGTCAAGTAAAAATTTCCTTAATTGTCTCTTTGACATTGACAATGTTTTTTTTAAATTCACCTCTTCAAGGAAGGCAAAGGGAACAATGTCCATACAGCCAAGTATTTAGTTTAATTAATTTTCGTTTTTTTTACATTAGAATTTAGAATGTCGGTGTGACTCATTCTAATGTTTCTTGGAGCTGTGTTTGCCACGAAATGTATCGAGTTGGCTTTTCCGGTAAGCTTCTTTATAGCGACCGGAATAGCGGATATTTTAAAGATTCTACTAATTCTTCAGTTGCGCAGATGGTTGTTACACAAAATCATACCAATTTTATTTTCGCCAACCGCACTCGATGAAATCCCGCCAAAAGGTCCTTTAATGTTTTTTTAGGTACTCTTGTCCCTGTTGGTACGAGCAAAGAAATCCGAGTTTAGACATCTCTAATAAAAGTGGTAATCGAGTTCCGGTAGCGATGAAACATTTGAAAGCTCATTTTAAGCTAACATATAAACATAACCTCCTAAAAATATTTTTAGGGATACATCTAGGAACCGGCTTCTCAGTGGAAAGGGTAGGCCCAAGAAAATTTGTACCAAAATGAGTATAAAATGAAAATTCCGAGCCGTTAAATCATGACAAACAACTTATAAAAGTATTCCAAAGGTTTCTGCTTTACTTTTAGAGAAAACTTAAGTAACTTAGTCCGGTGACCATTCTTTTATCATGAGAATTATCTTCATAGTCGAATAGCTCGAGTACAAGTTATGCTCCTTGTAGTATTGTAAAATCAAAAACATGCAATGGTATTTCTTTATTAAATTGGGGTAGATTCTGGCATGATTCTCTAAACGTAAAACTAAATTTAACACCAGTCTCCCCTTTTGGTTTAAAGCAGGGCTTGAAATCGGTTTCGAAAATACCGGTAAATAAAAGGTTAATACCGGTTTTTAGTAAAGGTTTCGTTCAGAGCGGATCCGAAATGAAAGCGGTAGTTACCTAAAACCTTAATAAATCGGTTTAATCTAGAGCCACACGTGCACGCGTCGGCATCGCTTGAAGTTTGTTTTGTTCGAACTAATCAATCAAGTATGAAACTCGCTCTGTAGTGGAAAGAAACTGACATAAAATCATTATAAATTTGAATTGAAACGGCGAAGGCGATGCCGTAAGTAAGAGCGAAATGAAACCCTTTAAAAACCGCTTAATTGATTCAAAACCTATTTGATTTCGCTTTTTAGGAAAACCGTTTTTTTTAAGGTAAAGGTAGAGCCCAACCTAAATAAAACGCTTCTAATGTACTTGACACTGATTTAGGTTTGAAAATTAACCGGTAAACAAGCCCTGGTGTAAAGGATATAATGTTGTAGTGAAAAATGAAGTTTTTGATGCGCTCGTAGTCTTGGTCAGCCGCTAGTTATGGATACAGATACGTCGTTTAAATAATTTAATGCCGGCGTTTCACATGGCTATTCGTATTTTCACATACGAATCAAACTACCTGATAAGGACAACCTGGTGGTAGTCCTTAGCATACTTTCTGCCCCTGTACTTCTGTAGGAAAAACTTGTGTCAAGTTTACAAATATCAAATCCGAATAGCTATGTGAAGTGCCGGCAGTACTATAGTCGTTTATAAGTGGATACTAAAATGTAAATTTTCTCTAAAACAAACAAAACTCTTTAAAATCCTTTTATGAGTTTTGTTATGATTTAAAGTTTTGAATTACAAGTTTGGTTCCTGAGGGATTATCCAAAAACTAAAGTTGACACAGACAAAGTTACAGGCAGCCTCTAGTATTTAATATGAATTACTAACCATACACCAAAAATCCTACCTATTTGACATATTGTGAAAGAAAAACACAAATATCATAATAAGTGTATAATTAAAACCCAGGCATTTATTTCAATAAATTAAAACAATTATTTAACTACTTATGCATTCAAAGTCGATTCCAATTCCCCACTGGCTTGAAGCTCCTTAATTATATCTAATCCTCCAATTAGCTCTCCTTTAACATAAAGTTGTGGATAAGTAGGCCAATCAGAATACTCTTTTAGGCCTTGGCGAACCTCCTCATCAGTCAGTATGTCAAATGTATCATATTGAACCCTGAAAAATTTATTTTTTAACAAAATAGATTTTTTTATGAAGTATTAACTTTATAAAGCGCAAACATTTTGCTGATGCTCGAAAAATATTTTAGAGCCATTGTCTATATTGTATGTAAATTATATATTTTTCTTGTTTGTCTGACTTACCCTGTGCCATTAAGGATTTGAATAAGAGTCCTACTAAATCCACACCTTGGTGTATCTCTATTGCCTTTCATAAAAACCATGACTTTGTGTTTATTAATAAGAGCTTTTAGGCGGTCTTCAAGTTTCTCGGACGATGCTGCCGAGATGCTTTTACCAATACTATGCAACTTCACTTTTGAAGTGATTTGAGCTGCATCAGCACCATCAATTCTATCTACTTGTGATCCATTTTTAAATAGTATAACAGTTGGTACAGAGTCAATCTGAAATCAACGTAAATACCTAATTAGGTTACTAAGTAGGTATGTAAATAAATTAACTTTATGATTTGTTTTTTGCCCCATTTTTATTCTCACAACATTTATTGAAAATAAATTAACTCAACATCATTTAAATAAATTTTAAAAATAACATTTCAGAAACCATATTTTATTAGTTTTAATGTCAGGCAAAAGAAGCAGCCAGCATTTCTTGCTCGAACAATAGGTGTTAAGAGTTCATAATACAATCTCAAATGTTGATTCTTGATAATAACAAAAAAAAGGAATATTTGGATCCACAATCAGTCTGTATAAAGCATAATAATTTTATATGAAATATAAATGTGTTGACAATTCAACTTGCGAATAACCTACTAAGATACCCTAATGGTACTATAAAACTCAGTTCAGTTATATTATACATAATCATTTCATTATGATAACTTGCCTTATATTGCAAAGAAATTTCAGAGAGGTTCTCTGCATCACAAACACCAAATTTGCTTCCGCTGCTTTGTATATCAGGGAGCTTAGAAAGTTCACTGAGAACTTCTGTAACCTGTCCACATTGTTCAGCCCAATTTGCAGAAAAATGTACAACAGTTAGAGATGGGGACCTAAAACAGAAATAAATGTAGGACAATAAAAGAAGTCAGATTTTCAGTTATCGTTGCTGTATCTAACAGAACAGAGATTTTAATACAACTTAGAAATAAAATGTACTTAGTTTTGTTTGGACATATGAAGCAACATTGTTTTTAGTTAAATTACTTTTTTTCAAGTAGTAATGTACGCACTAAGAAATCTGGATGAAGTAAGTATGTAATATTCAATAATGTCTAGATAATGCCTAGAAATAAAATCTTTTATTACCTTGTGAAATCTAAGAAATGTTCATTTGAGTCTAAAGTTGCGACAGTCATTTTCAACAATATTTATTGATTTACTCCAACCTTTACACCTAGTCGGAATTCTATATACCTAAATGCTAGGTATTCCAAAAGCCAAGCCGTCCAGAGGATTCCTTTTTTCAAATAATTATTTAGACGAGTAAATCTAACCTCATAATTTAGCATTCATTTATTCTCACATTATGAAGGTTATAGAAACTACGTCCATACAGCATACAGCCTCGTCTTTAGTATACATTAATATCTCTGACGGTGAAGTGTATATTTTAAAATACAAAATCACTACCTATTTCAGATTACCTAGTCTTCATATTTGTAAAATTGTTTAAAATAAAACGTTGTACTGAAACAATTTAGATTGGTGTCTGTATTTTAAAACAAGCAATTCTGTTAGTTCTCCCAAATTATCTCATTATTGTGAATGAAAATTGAGTCACAGAAGCATATCAAGAATGAGTAAAAAAGTTAATACTTCGACAATTATCACTTAATTCAAATATTCTTACTGGATTAAATATGTCTTAATCCCGGTAATAAACTATAAGTGTGCCGGATGTTTCATCCGTTCATTCTGCTGTTTTTACTTGATTGAAAATAAATAAAAAGAAATTAAGATAAGACTGTATGAATTTAGTTACACTTGCATATCAAAATAAGAAATTCAACGAAAAAAATCTGTCATTGTCAGGTAGGGATGCTCGATCTTTTGCACTGAATCGATCTTTTGGGCCCTTATCCTGTGAATTGATTCATGAACTGAATCGTATGGCATTGAATGAATTGATCTTAATTTAATTACTGAAAATTGCTTGGTTAGCGTATTTGGAGAAGGTAACTTTTGCTAGCACAGTTTTTTACAAGTTACTTGATAGAAATAATATGTTTTTGAAGTTATACTTCTTTAGCCGCGTTATGAAAAAATTAAGAGAGTAAAATTTTAAGATGTGCACGCATCACTGTAACACAAAAGTAACATAATGAAGTTAGCCGCGGGCGCGTTATGAAAAAATCATGTGAGTGAAATTTTAAGATGCGCGCGCATCACTGTAACACAAAAGTAACATAATGAAGTTAGCCGCGGGCGCGTTATGAAAAAATCATGTGAGTGAAATTTCGAGATGCGCGCGCATTACTGTAACACAATAGTAACACCATGAAGTTGGCCGCGGGCGCGTTATGAATGTTAGTGTCTAATAATTAAATTTTAATAAATTATTAGACATCTGTTCGAAAGGTACTTTGAACGATCCACGGAGCTCCATAAGATGATCGCGTTGTCAAAAACAATGTTGGCACGCTCGTCGCCTCTGATCACTGTTTTCATATCTATAATATTTATCCACATGTTTCTAGTTTCCACAACGAGTTTTAGTTACTTACAAGTGCTAATTACATATGGACTAATAACTTAAATTCAGTAGTGATTTAAATTGAATATTTTGATTATTTATTAAATTTTTCAAATTAAAACTGATCTTTATTGACTGCGTTGACTATCCTTTTCCAATCCTTTTATTATCTTATTGTAATTAATTATCTGCATGCAATTAAAAACTATTTTTTAATAATTCCAAAAAGAAGTATAACTTCTCACGCGCGTACTTAAGTACCCGCACCCATATTTTTTATTTTTGCTATGATTTTATTTATTTTTTAAGCATTTAACTGCTAGATGTTTAAATCTAAAGAAAAGTTTACTAGAAAAAAATCCACGAGGACCAGGCAGCGGACGAGACTTTTTTTTTCTAGTAAACTTTTCTTTATGTTTTTTTTGTTTTTTCATTTTTAATTACGTACTAAAAACAAATATCGTAAAACGTATTCGATATTATCGACAGATAATACCGCGCGCGAGAAAGGTAGGTAATGGTGTCGATTCTGGCGTAATTCTCTAAACTTAAAACTAAATTTAACATTAGTCTCTCCTTTTCATTCTTTATAGAGAATGACAAGGATACACTGGTGTCGATTCTGACAGGATTCTCTAAACTTAAAACTAAATTTAACATCAGTCTGTCCTTTTTACTCTTTAAAGAGAATGACAAGGATACACTATACTGTTGCCAAATTTAAGTTTAGGATTAGAGAATCATGCCATAATCAACACCAATGTGACTTTGTTCCAGATCTCTGTGAAAATGTTTTATTTAAACCCTTTGGCTCAAATTTCGGTTTCGGTTGGCTACATTTTTTTATTATCATATCATTAAATTTGTTCGTTTAGTCTTCTGAGGATGCGATTTGATCTGGGGATCTAGGGATCTAGATTTCATTCAAAAAATCGATAGATCGTGTTGTCATGAATTGATGTTCCAAAACATTGATTCAGATCGACCGGGCATTCCTCTATACGTAGTATCTCTAACTAGTCTGTGATTTCTCTCTACCTACACTGACTGTCAGATGTCAGTGGGATCGGAAGTAGTGAAGTTTTAGGTTAATACTTATTTCAATACGAGAAAAGGAATAATAATTATATTATTGCTTATTTTATTTATTTAGCTTGCTCGAATAAGTATTTACGTAAGATGGCCACCATATCAGCGGCGCCAGCTCCAGGCATGCAACAAATAGATTTATCCAAGTTGAATCTTCATCAGTTGGCTCAATTAAAACAACAGCTTGACCAGGTAAGTGTATCCTTTATATTAAAAACGTGTTGAATTGAAATTAGTTACTTAAACAAATTTGAAATTAACGTGGAGTTTTGTTTTTAGGAACTTAATGTATTTCAAGATTCACTTCAGACTCTGAAAATAGCGCAAGGTAAATTTGTGGAATCTGGCGAAAGTGTAGAAAAAATTACACCTCAAACCAAGGGAAAGACAGTGCTAGTGCCACTTACAGGATCTATGTATGTTCCTGGGACGATAATAGACACAGATAATGTTATCATTGATATTGGTACAGGATATTACGCCCAGAAAGTAGGTATCAATGTTTTTTTTAATTTGACTGAATTATTAATTATTATTATTATGTGATATTCATTCTTTGGTAAATAAAATAATATTTTTAGCAATTAATTGAGCCACCATTATAAAATATTTATATAGAATCATTTGTTTATACCTTTCAGGATATTGATGGTGGTAAAGATTATTTCAAAAGAAAAGTGGAATTTGTAACAGAGCAAATGGAAAAAATTCAAGCATTAGCTGTAGAGAAGTCTAAAGCTAGAGAAGCAATCTGTATGATGCTTGAAATGAAATTGCAAGCTCAATCACAAGCACAGAAACCTTCTACATCATAACACAAAATGATCTCAGTATTCATAGATTTGCTTACTATTGTTATATATTGGACTGCTATTATAAGGTCCAAACTAATTTATAATCATGAGATATCTGAAATGGCTGGCATTTGAACTTTTCATTTAATTTGAAGGATCATAATTATATCAATGTTTTCTTATACTCATGATTATCTTTAAACATTGCACATTATATTGAAAACACCAAATTGACTAGTGTTACAACAATGTTAGTGGGCAAAATAACCTTTGGCTTGGGCGTCCGTGATATCATTCTACTGGAATTGTTTTAGTTATTATTACAACTGAATACTAATTTGATTACCTTTATGTTAAAATTCTAATTTGAAATGGTGTTGCATCATGAAATGGCTTATTGAAATTTGTAATTGCATAGCTTCTATAAATTTTTTGTTGCATGATTATTTGTGGTACAGTAATAATATTGTATAGAAATAACAATAAAAATAGTCTTTTGCCTTTTTGAAGATCACAAACTGTTAGATCATTACATTATGTTGTAGTATCCTTTATTTAATAATTAAATTTATAAAATAATTTTTGTGTTTCCTTTTACAAGACTGGTATGTGAACGAACTATGAATTTATATGTGACCCAGGATACTTTTCTTACTATGCTTCAGTACACTACATATATCATCGTTATAGTAGAAGAATTAAATAACTAATGAAACCTAATTCTGAGATAATTGTTATTTTGTCTTTTTTTTCATTAAAACAAACATAACTTTTTATTTTTAAGAAAATTTTGTGTCCATATAGAAATTAAATAAAAAAACAATAATTAAAAAAAAACCACTTCTTTCATGGATCAATTTAATAGTCCAGTTGCAGTTATCGTAATATTGTATGTTAGTTATTTACAATCTATGCATTTTCCAGGGCCAAATAATACAGGTTGTGGCACGTAACTCTAGTGCCGTACAAAACGCGGAGGGGATAGCTGCGCATGGGTACGACTGGAGAGCCAATCGGCGCAACGCATGCCCACCCGCGCACCTAGTTTTCCCCCCAAGACATCTTAATTTTTACTTCCGCGCAATAACGGTTAGCGCTAGAGTTTCATGTTGCGTAGGGGAGCCAAAGCGGGTATTTTGGGTTTACTCAAGCGCGGCAGAATGACACAAGAGGGGCACCTATCACCTTCTGAAGTACTCCAACCATACCAGCCCCTTTAGCATGACCACCGAAACGGGATATGCGGGATAAAGCGATATATCGGCATTAACTGTCAGACTACTGTCAAACTCCACTTTAGTATGACAGTTAATGCCGTTAAATCGCTTTATCATCCCGTTTTGGTGGTCATGCTAGAGGGGCTGAGTCCTTTATAAATGGCAATGACCTTTGGTCGCATGAAAATCGAATAATCGTCTCTTTTGAATGGTAGCTACTGGCGGTTTCACGTAAAGTGTTTGATGAAGGAAAAAATATACTAGAATAAGGAAAAATAATAAAAAGTCTAGCGCGTCAGACGATAAGTTATGTTGAGAAAACCCTACAGTAGCCCCTGCTCAAAAGTCTGACGATTTGGACGCGACCAGTCATGGCTGTTTGTTTTTTTTTGTACTTGTACAAGACGCAACGCTTGTCCTGCGTGGAATATTGCTAGCACCTCTAGAATAGCTCTGGCAAGTACTTAGTGAATGCTTTGAATAGGTTTTAGCGGCGCGCGACTCGCAGGTGAGGACTAATGACTTTAGTCTTAGATGAGTTTAGGTATTTACACCCCAATCCTCTTCAACTACGCCATGATGTGGCGTCATTAAGAGGGGACGCGCGCAGTGTTTTTTTTCCATAAAACCGTTTTCGACTGATTCCTCATTGATTTTAATCGTTAAAGAATTGATTTTCATTCATGTTTTCCTTTTTTCGATAACTTGTGTTTTACAGAAACTACTGTACTACTACTTTACTCATACTTCATTTCGTGGTAGTATCTACAATTTATTTAAACTTACAGCCTTTAAAATGACGTCATTAGATTTAGACATTGTACGCGAACTTGATGAGGCTTTTACAATTCCTTGCCACGAATTCACTCTGCTGGAAAATTGTAGGTCGGCATTGAATTCCTCTTATGGGCTAAAAGTTCTAACTTTTAACATACGTAGTATTAGTCATAATCTTGACTCCTTTATAGTTGCATTGAAAAGGATCAATATTGATTTTGATGTGATAATCCTAACGGAATGTTGGCTCCAGTGTTCACCCTTGGTTGGTCAGATGACCGGTTATGATGTATTCCAAACTGAAACTAACTTAAACAAATGCGGTGGTGTTACTGTCTACGTCCGATGTTCATTGAACGCTTCTGCCAGGGAGCTGAATTTATTAGAAGCTGAGGGATTAGTAATTGAAGTTCCAAATATATGCAGCATATTGGCTGTATACCGTTCTCCTTCATTCTCGAACAAAACTATATTTTTCAACTCGTTAGGTTTGGTTTTAGAACAATTTAAAGACTCTCGGCTACTTATATTTGCGGGTGACTTGAATATTAACATTCTGGATCTTACTGACCTCGATTCATCGTATTATTGTGATTTGCTTGCAAATTTTTGCTTGGTTCCAGCTATAACACGTCCGACTAGAACAAACTCTTGTCTGGATCACATCTTTGTAAAATCCGAGAATGTAGATTGCATTGGAGTGGTTGGACATGCCGACATTACTGATCATAGCATCAGCATGTTAGGTGTGTCCAATACTTATACTAACTCTATTAGAAAAAAAAACAGAGAAATAGTTAAAATCGATTATAAGGCGGTAACTAATGATCTCAAACTGGTGGACTGGTCGCCTGTAATGCTCGATCAGAATGTTGACTCCGCTGCTGAATGCTTTGGAAATATCATCTCTTCAGCTATTGCCAAGAATTCTATAAAAAAACGAATCAGTCACTCTAAGCGTATATTGAAGCCCTGGATGACCCCTGGTTTATTGAGATGTTCCAGACACAAGGATAGGCTCCATCTTGACTCAAGAAAACATCCAACCGATAAGGCGAAAGAATTAGTTTATAAAAGATACAGGAACTATTTCGGAAATCTTCTTCAACGCCTTAAAAGGGAACATGAAGCTGCAGAACTCGCTGACAACAAAAATAATCCCAAAGAACTCTGGAAGGTTATAAGCAAAATAAGCAATGCAAAGGCCACTTGCAAGTCTGCCAATGAACTTGCCAGTGTTATATCGGGAGATGCTATTGGTTCAGCTAACTACTGCAACGACTATTTCGCAGGTGTCGGTAAACGTTTAGCTAACCAACTACTCATCCAAACACACAATACACTGGAGGACCTTGTGAGACATGAGAACAAGGGCTCAACTGCCTCCTTTTCATTCTTTATGACACCGACAGACTTGGTTGAGGTAGACCGGACAATAATGAAGTTGAGAAATAGTGGTGCTGCTGGAATAGATGGTCTTGGTTCCACTCTCATTAAATCTATAAAATCAGAGATACTTAATCCATTAACACACATTTTAAACTTAAGCATTGCCTCCGGTTCATTCCCTTTGGGTTGGAAGAGGGCAATGGTTATTCCCATTTACAAGCAAGGCTCACGGAGGTGTCCGGAAAATTACAGACCGATTTCTCTTCTGCCTGTTTTCTCCAAAATACTAGAGAAGATCATCAATAAACGATTGCAGCAATATCTCGAGGTTCACGGGTTACTATCGACTAAGCAATTTGGTTTCAGACAGAAAAGGTCAACGGAAGACGCAGTCGCTAATGTTGTGAATTTTGTTGCAGATCAGCTTGATCAGGGTCGTACATGTATAGGCGTCTTCCTAGACCTGGCAAAGGCCTTTGATACCGTCCCAGTACGCTTGTTATTGAGGAAACTTGAAAATATTGGCATCAGGGGATTACCGCTGGAATGGTTTAGAAGCTACCTTACGGGCAGGCGACAGTGTGTTAGGCTGGGTGAAATAATCAGTAATGAATTGCCGATCGAGTTTGGCGTTCCGCAGGGTAGTGTTTTGGGCCCAACCTTGTTCACTATTTTCATAAACGACATACTTGCTGTGTTGCCTCCCGATGTCGAAGCAGTTTGTTATGCGGATGATACGGTTGCATTATTTCATGATGAAGATTGGGAGGGGGCTATCCGCAAGGCAGAGAAGGGGATGTCTGATCTTATGAGCTGGTTAAATAGAAATTTACTGACCTTAAACGCATCCAAAACTAAATACATGTGTTTTCATAAGACCAAATCTTCTGCGCCTGCTTCTACCATTGAGCTCCGCTTGCATTCTGATTGCATATCTAAGAATTGCACGTGTCGGGGTATTGATAGGGTTGCAAGTATTGGGTACTTAGGGGTGGTTTTGGATCACAATCTGTCATTTAAAAAGCATTTAGAAACCACTTCCTCTCGCATCAGAAAGTTAATCTATGTGATGAAGTTGCTCAGGAATTCTGCTGACACAACGACTCTTCGGTTAGTGTACACAAGCTTGGGAGAATCACTTCTCAGTTATTGCATTCCAGTGTGGGGAGGGACTTCTGTTACTGTGATGCTCGGGCTTGAAAGAGCCCAACGAGCTGTCCTTAAAACTATGAGCTGCAAACCTTACCGTTTCCCTACTGAAGCACTTTTTTCTGAAACTCAAGTTTTGAGCGTGCGCCAATTATACATTCTTAAGGTGGCTCTAAAAATGCATCGCGCTGTAATCGTCTCCCCTGATTACACTACCCTGATTCAGAAGAGAGTATTTAAGGTGCCCACAGTTGTTGTACGAACAACTTTCGCGCGTCGCCTGCCAAAATTTATGTTGCCGTATATCTATAATAAGGTAACAAAACTGTGTAATATCAGAGAACTTAACACGAAGCAGGCAAAGCGCACTATCACCTCAAGGTTATTGTCCATGACTTACATGCAATCCGAAAACCTGCTTAAACGACTGGAATAGCATTACCCGAAGTCCTTGGCTCTCACCGTCCTACATGCATAGGTACAGACAAGCACACACACACACACACACACACACACACATACACACACACACTTTATAACTTTAAAACGTAGTTAGTTTCTGTATTCTGTAATTTTATTCATTGGGTGCCCACGATACAGGACCTCCTAGTGTGGGACCCATGGTTATAAGCTGACTGTATGATACGAATTTTAATAAATATATTTGTATTTGTATTTGTATTAGAAACTAGAAGCCCTCGAAAAAGGCCAAAAATAAACAAATTTTTATCACCACTAAAGACGTCTAGTGTGGAGTTTAATAAGCATTTAAAAAAAAACAAAACAGAGGCATAGTATAACTTCTTACTATTCATTGCGTAAACATTCTTTTACATACATACCTATATCTAATTTTCGAGGAGGAAATCGTCGAGAGTCAAACCTCGAATTTCGCAATTTTTATACGCA